AATAAGCACTTTAAAAGTTTTTTACCCACACGCACACGCATACACACACACTCACACACATGCGCGCGTGCACTTATGCTATGTAGGAACAAGGCTGCCCTGTTCGGTAGTCCGTAATGCATGCGAGAAGTGTGAGAAAGTACATTAGGGTCAGTGACGACTTGGACCACAGTCGAGCTGGGCGGGTCATGGGGCGGGGCGGGGCATAACATGGATGCTGCTACTGCTACATTTACTTGTCGTGCCATTGGCAACCACTTTCGCTTTCAACTTGCAACATTTTGCGGCCGTGCCGAGCCGGGTGTGTGCTAGTGTGTGTGTCTTGTGCAATGTGTGTTTGCCATAATGTACAATTTAAATGTAAACAATTTGCCCCAATGTGGCACAGCGTGGCAAAAAATACTACAGGACAAAGGCAGCTGAATAAAATATTTAAAAGCTAGCAATAGCAGCAACAGAAACAGAAACTGAGCATATGGCAGACGAGGCAGCTGTGAATAGTGAAACTCAAATATTTATCTTAGCAATTGCCTCTAATTTCGTTCAAAGTTGCTGGCGTTCTAAGTAAACTTTTCATTAGCAGCAAACTCGCAAAAACACACAACCATACAATACACAAACCCCTTTACGCCATTAGTCAACAGTCAGAAGGATAAGTACTGCTATTTTTATTTAATTAACATTCTTTTATAGTTGTAATTGACTTTCATGTGCATTTGCAAATGTTTCAATCAAACTTCAACCCTACCAGAAGCCGCAACATGCACTCACATAATCACCATTAATCATATCCCCATAGTCAGGCTATATAATTAGGTATTCACTTGGTTTTCCCATGGTTTTGGATTTTCTATTAAAGAAAGTTAAGAATGAAGCAATATAACATTTCAATAAAACTGCACTTATAATATCAACATACACTTGAGTATGGGAATACCTAGTTGACATAACATAAGTCGCTTATTAGAAAGTCCATACAAACTATTAAATTAAATGAAATAGTCGCAAAAGTAATATTTTAAATTTTAAACAAAAACTTTGCATTTGATACTCAACCAACCGAATAAGCCAATTAATTAGTTTTTTTTTAACTAACTGAATAAGCCATACAACTTGGCGAACTTGACTTGCACACTATGTTTTAAAATGTCGTCAAAGAAAGCACATCCCGAATGGTTAATTTGAAACTATTTTATACCTAATTATATTAATTAAGAGTATTTAATTATCGGTATACCACAGGTAGTTGTTCGGTGAATTCTTCAATATGCAACAAGCCGATATTCATAAAAGACAAAACCGCAACCACAACAAACAGGAACCGCAGCGCACCCAATATGGGGCGTTAGCTCCAACCACCCATCAAAACCACGGGCCCAACTTTCGCATAAAATAAAAAAACAAATCAATTGAGAGCTGTGCTGTGCAATAAAACAATTTGATAATATTGAAAAACTAAAACAAGGCACAAAAATGCGATGCTATTGAAATGATGCCAAGTTTTTGTTGTTTTTGCTCTCGTTGTTTCCCATGTATTTATATTAGTTGTTGTTGCTTTTGCTGCTATTATTGTTGTTTATATTGCGTGCTACATTTGGCACGTTGCCGTGGATATCTGGTTTGTTTAGCGACACGTTCTGTTGATTTTCTATTATTCTCTTTTCCTTTCAAATTTTCTCAAAAGTTCATTAAACTCTTGCGCAAACAGTGAAATAAATATTAAATCAATTTAATTAACTCATGTTTTTTAGTTTAAACACAATATTATTTCTCCAACCAAATATAATGATTTTAGAGTGTTCAAATACCCCAAAAATGTGATTTTCTCTTCTAGCGCCTGTTGTGTGCATAATTAATGTAATGTCTTGGGTCCCACAACGTGGTGCCCGAAATGTTTGCTACGTCCTTTTACGACTGTTGTTTTATGCAAGCAAAGTCCCACGCTGCGTATGCGTAATATGTCACAGGCCTTGTTAAATTTCGGACTTTAAGACATCGGAACCTTTAACGATTCCCAGCATAAGTTAGAGCGTTGAACGTAAGGATAAGCGAGAAGCTTACATCATTAAATGGTCTGCAGAAATATACGGGCTTAAGGAGATAAATTCAGGCAGACATATTATGCGTTATATTTATGATCCACTAGTTCCCGTCGCGACTTTGTCTGCTTGCGTTTTGGTAGGGTTCATAAAATGTTTACCACGCATCTATTCATTTGTGTGTTCCCCTGTCCCAACCCATGCACCCCTATAACATTATTAATTTACCCAAGCAATAGTAAAACACACACAGCGGGCCACGAAAATTATACCAAGACCCTCTAAAGGCCGTCACACCTCCAAGCATTCACCATACTACATACCGAATTTAAGCTTTATAGCTTCTAGGGTTCAGACTGTGCGTTAATCACCAATCAGTCAGTCAGTCAGTCAGACCAAATAGTTTTATATAATGTGATAACGTTTTACGTTTAATTCAATGCTAAATATAAAGAATAGAATGCAGAAAATAGTACTAAAATGGCATATCTGTCAATCACCGTCGGTGTATACTCATGCTCACACGTCTCTTTTGTAGTTTCTTAGAACTCTGTATTATTATTTATAAATATATAAATACATAGATAGTGTTTATTCATAAAATAACAGCGTCTTTAGGAAAAAGGCATAATTCACGAGTAATAAATCAAGCAGAGTTAAAATTTGTTTTTTTCTTTCAATGAATAGCTTCCAGAAAAACTCTCCAAGATTATATATTTATTTTTAGCCGCTCAATTTCAAATATGTTTTATTAAAGGTTGAGTATTAATGTAATTTATTTATAGCTTGCCCGTACAATTTTTCCTTTATTTCGGAACTAATCACAAGACCCCATTAAAAATTTCCGGTGATATCGACTTAATTAGAATGAGAAAACAGCCATAAACTCTTAGCGCACTCAACACATACGATGGATATTAATTGATCCATGTTGAGAGCCTGTCAAATGCGCCGATGCCTAAATAATGAACCCCCGAATATCTTTGACAAGCAGTAAAAATTCCAATTGGGAAAACGTTTGCTCGCACCCTCGCTCTGCTCGCCGTCAGTTGGTGTTAAGTAATTTACATGAGGCTAAAAATAGGCGCAAATAATGCGATGTGTCAAAACAAAACATCAAAACGAACTGAGAAATGGGAACTGTGATCTGAGAGATGGGCAATGGGAGCTGGGAATGAAGCGGGAGGCGCAGGTAAAACTCAAAACTCAAGAGAGCAACCAACTGGTGGCAACTATTTTGGATACGGAACAGACATCAAAGTCGTCTTCCCCTGGGCTGCCAATAAAAGAATTAAACGAATGTATAAATCATTAAAAACGGCCAGACGATTGCCGCCTGCAACTGGTCACATGCCACAGGGCACTTATAAATAGAATTCCTGCTTTAACTAAAGAGGCGCACGTGCTGCTAATGCTGCTGCTGCTGCTGCTGCTGCTGGACAACTTCAAAGCTATTGCACCACAGAGCGTCTAATTAGACGATGTGCCTGCAACAGGCAACACCGCAACAGCTAAGCAAATATAAACTAACTCCTGCCCCCCGAGATGGGTTGCGCTTGCATGGCCCGAGCCATCTATTAGGATTTACGACTAGGTGTTGCCTTTTGCCTTGCAGCGCACATTTGCTCAGCTTGCCGCAAGCCAAAGCGTTGACAAATTGGCGATGCCGCAGAGGAAGCTGCGCTGCCGCTATGTTTGCCATTTTGCTCAAGCTGTCATCGAATGCGCGCCGGAAAGTATGCAGTGCAAAATAACAAATGGCTTGTGGCTTTGCGGATCTGCGGCGCTCCTTGGCCAGCTGCAAGCGTAGCGGGCACGCGGGGCTTATTTCAATAATTTCCTTATACGTTCTTACTACAAGACTGCATAAATTTATGCATAGAGCTGCGGCTTGTGCTACGCTAATCCTTTGCTTGTGCCGGTAGAAGTAGCCGGGCGGGGATATTGGAGGCTTGGACCAACGATAAAATTTGCACTTCACTTTCGGCTGGCAAGCTGGCAAAAACATTTGAACATCAAAGCGGCAGAACGACAAAAAGAGAAAACCTAGAAAAAGCGAACAAAAAAGTCCTTTAAAATTTGTTTGCAAAATAAATGCGTCGCAGTTTTGTTGCCGCTGCTGCCTGCTGTTGCCAACATTTTTGCTTTGCTGCTCTGTTGAATTCTAAAAATTCTAAAAATGGAGCTCTCCATCCAGCGTTGAGTGGATTCTGTGGGCTTTGCTAGGCAAAATTGTGTTTCGACTTTAGCTTTAATAATTTAATTGACGATTACAGGTGGGCAGCACCTGAAGCTCGTGTAGTTCACTTATCAAATATCGCACACAATAACAGATAGAATACTTGTAATATTAAAGAAGCCATGCGGACGAAAACAATGTTAAAATCTTACAGGCTGTCCTGTCGATTGAAATAACACAAAACACGAACCCAAAACTCGAGGTGAAGCAGCCTAGCATGAAGCAAAATATATTGTCTTTATATACACTTTGTTTGTTTTATTTTTATTTATTATTATTTATCTTTTTTTTGGAGAGAAAATAACAAACTTGAACAAACGACAGCAGCAAGGACAACCATAATGTCGACAACCGGCAAACGGAAGAGTCGAACAGACAATAAGCACGGGGTGGGCGTGGGGGTTGCTGGGCGTAGCCCAATGCCAGGCACCACTCCCGGCGGGCTGGCTTTGGGTATTGTTCTGCCCGTTCCGCGAAAGGCAAACGGAAGCATTGTGTTAAAATAACAAACAATCAGCCGAATCATGCAGGATGTGCAAATAAGAAATAAATATATTTTTATCAACGCCAGCGCAAACGCCAGCTTCCTACCTAAGAACTTCAATTGGAAGCTTTCCCTGTTGCCCCTTCTGCTTTCCGCCATGTTGCCTGCTGCCGCCGGGGCGTCAGTTTTCATGTTTTGCTAATACAAGAAAATCAACTTTTCTTTTGCCTTTTTACAGTACCTGCACGTTTGGTTTGGGCCGCTGCCGGCAAGACCGTAGATCTGCCATGCGATTTGACGCCGCCCACGCCGCAGGACTCGGTAAAATTGCTGCTTTGGTTCAAGGACACCACCGGCATACCGCTGTACAGGTAAGTGCTGCTGCTGCAGTTGCCAGAACATGGCAAATCAATTTGAAAGCTTGGCCAAACTATTTAGTTGAAAAAACCGACTAAGCCAGCTGCCAGTAGACGTTGCCAACAAGCGAAAATGCTGCCCAAGTGTTACACACACACACACACACCCTTACACATCCGGCAAGCGACAGCCATCCATCAAAAACGTGAAGTAATCGTCAACATCCTTTGCTGCCGTCACACTTGGCGAATTTTTCACATTTTTTTTTTGCTCCATTCTGTTTTTTTTTTTTTTTTTGGGGTGTTTTTGTTGTTGTGCGTTTTGCCTGAATTCCGGCATCGGTGCTTTTTGTGTGACGGCATTTTTGCGCAGGACCCCGGAAGAAGTGTTATGTGTATGCGCACGTGTGTGCTTGTGTGTGTGGTAAGGATGCGCCCGTCCACGCCGTCATAATCCACTTTGTTATAATAAATGTAAAGCACATCCGATTACAGTTGCCATCGCTAAAGTGTAGCAAATTTTCACGCACATACGCATCAGACACGCTTCCCCCAACCACCCTACCACTGTCCTCAGCACTCCATTACCACCTCTCAGCTGGCAAAGAGCATTTTTGCTTTTATAAATTTCAGTTGATAAATTTTCAATGTGCCGTGCGCATTTCAAGTGGTACCGCCGCCAGGCTTGCGTGCCACAGCAGCAACTATCAGACACACAGGTGAACTGGCCACCAGTCGATAATCATAAACAACTGCAGCAACTGAGCAGTGGCAGTGGTAGCAATCCAACTCTAGAGTGCAGGGTGTTGTACATGAAATAAACAGAGTAATTTGCTAAAACAGCAACAAATTGCTGCAATTTGCGCAAAGCTGCCAAAGCTGCCAAAGTCGCGACGTGGCACGCAGAAGCGAAGCAACAGTAACGAATCCGCAAAAAACAAGAACAAAGCAACACACACACACACATACACACACACACACACACATACATACTCGTGCAAATTGAGCGTCATTTTTTATGGCCGTAAATTATGGTAGCAGTAGGACAACCTGGGCACCAGGGCAAACTAATGGCCAAGAGATGCTTGCATATGTTTATTTATGATGTATAATAAGCGCTATGCTGCCAGCCACGCCCACACACTAAATTCACACTTAACGATTTGCTTTGCAGTCTGGATTCGCGTGGCGGCAATGTAAAGCTGGCGCCACATGCGGCGATAGCTAGCGATCTGGGTCAGCGCCTATTCTTTAGCATTGGGGATAATCCCAAGGATTCGCGCCTGCAGATTAAGGATGTTAAGCCCGAGGACGGCGGCGTCTATCGCTGCCGCATCGACTTCTTCAACTCGCCCACCCGCAACTTTAGGCATAATCTAACATTAGTTGGTAAGTTCAATTTGCCAATCAGCCTAGAACCGGCCATAAGCTCCATAATCTCTTTTATGCAGTGCCGCCCGAGGAGCCGCGCATCTTTGATGCACAGGGCAAAGAAATCTCCCAAATGGCAGGGCCATTTCGTGAGGGCTACGAGCTTTTCCTCTGTTGTCAAGTGAGGGGCGGTAAGTGTAAAACTCCTTTTGCATTTGTTCATTTGTAACTGTTAGATAATTAAAAAGGATTACTTTTTTCAATACAGTAATGTTCCTCCAATTGGATTATGATTTTACTAGTTATAAATTTATTAAAGAACATGTTTAAAATGAGAAACTCTCTCTCTGAAAATTCTTCAGAGAATCAGGGATATTCCAAGAGTTCTATTCGAGTATTTGTAGAGAATACTCTTCAATGATTGGATAATTGTTCCATCCGGAACACACATTGCATACGGCACTGTAAAGTCCTTACAATCCCTGATCCCTGCAGCTGACATGCTGCGGTCACTGCAGCACTTTATAACTATCTCATATGGCAAAGCATCCCTGTCGCTGTATGGCATATTGTGGCTACTCCCTGGTAGTTGACAGGAACTTGGAAAACTATTGAGAGCAGCTACCAATAACACTATGTCATTCTGTTTTGCAGGTCGACCACCACCGAAGGTCACCTGGTGGCGTGATGGCAACGAGCTAATCGGCACTAGCCACACCTCGGTCGAGGAGGGCGCCACAGTGATGGTGAATCAGCTGCTCATTGGCACCACAACTAGGGATTACTATGGAGCACGCATTGAGTGCCGGGCGCAGGGTACCCGCTTGCTGGAGCCTGTCATCAAAGATGTTACCGTACAGGTGCACTGTAAGTCGAAGTTCCTTTCTTAAATGCTGCTGTCTAACTGTAACTGTATTAACAGTGAAACCTGTGCGTGTGAAGATTATAACGCCCAACGATCTGCTCACTGCCGGACATCCGATTGCCATACGCTGCGAATCGTGGGGCTCGTATCCGGCGGCTAAGATTGCCTGGCTGCTCGATGGCGAGCCTATACGCAACGCTGAGGTTACCGTGCATAATGACAAGGAGGTAAGTGGCGACTCTTTCAATTTAAATAGCACACAAATTGTCAAACGAAGTTTAGCCAGAACAATAAAAAAAAGTAAACAAGCAATTTGCTGTTGAACATGCATCCTCCCAAAGGGAGCGTAACTTTTTGCTGGTAAATTTGCTTTTTACGTTTGACATTTGATAGCTACACACACAGACACAGACACACACACGCACACGCACACATAGGCACTCATGCACACATACTCACATACAACTTTGAGCAACTGTACGCCGCTTAATAACCTCTGAAGTGCAACTTCTACAACAACAATGTCGACCACTGGGTGACCCTAAAAGGCAACGTGAGCCAGGCAAAGTTTTGCAGCAGCCGCAGAGCCAAAAGCTGCAGACAAGTTGACTTCAAGTGGCCCGTCCGCCTGGCTGGCAGCCACAGGCCCCCTTTTAGGACCCTGCCTCTGCTGGACTTCTTTGATTAAGTGCACTGCCGAAAACTTTCGAGCGAACTATACAAATTTGCACTCGACGATTGGGCCAAGGAGCACGACGGACTTTTCCTCGACTAATGTGCGAATTTTTATTTGAATTTATGCAGACGGGCCGGGCCGGCCGGTCAGTTTGTTAAGGGCCCAACGCAATTTTTGTGCATCCAGCTTAAATTTATCAGCTCCAGTTCACATGCAACACGACTTCATTTGCCTACGAGACAGCTCCATACATTGGAGCGGGGGTTGTTTGTAAGACATGCGACCGCACTGTGTAAGGACAGCTCGGTTTTCGGCATCCATTAGTTATCCTTTCTTATACCTTGCCAGAGGATATTTTAGTTTTGTCACGAACTGTGTAACTTTAGAAATATATGCGTGAATTTCTGAATAATATTGGTCAGCTCAGAGGTCGCTCTTTCACGAAAGTTCCTGTATGAACAAATTTTCTTTTTGCATTTTATTTGACCAATTCCACATAATATTAAAGAAAGCAATACTTTCTGGAAGGGTATTTCATCGTTGGCATGCAATAAATAGCTGTTCTTTTTTGCTGCTCTTGTCGTTGCCTTTTTCGCTTTCTAATTATGCCATGTTAGTGAATAGAGACAGGAGCCAGAGCAAGAGCTGTAGCTGTAGCTTTGGCTGGTATTGATGCTGATGCTCGAAAACGTGAGCGTTTGGGACTTGCCCTATGCCAAACGTCGACTGTCATTAGACAGCTCGTGCATAACCGATTCTTACGATAGCAGGCCCCAATATGGTATGTGGGCGCAAGTTTGAATGTGGATGTTGGTTTGGGTAAGGGTTTCGCAGCATCTGCTTGCCACACGCATGGCTTTGTGCTCAGATCGATTGTTGCCAAAACGTTGATGGCCTGCCATAAGCAAGTTTGGTTGCTGGCGTAACACAACACACTCCCCGACACGAGAAGCCAAAGATGCGTCTCATTATTTCCAAGCCCATGCAGCAAAGCCCTTCTAGCTTGTCGCTTGAGCTTGATACGATACCCAACAGCGAGTGGGGTGCTAAGCTTTGCAAATAAATCTTTGCTACCTCCATATCTGAAAAAAATATCGAATTTTGATTCCGTTTCACATATTGCAGGATGCCAACATTACGACCAGCATACTGACGCTGAAGGTAACATCCGAGAACGACAATGCCGAGCTGGCATGTCGGGCTACGAATCCATGGTTCTCCGGCGGCGCCATCGAGGACAAGCGCATTATACGTGTGGCATGTAAGTACAGGTTGATGTAAAAACTTATTGAATCACATGGTCTGCTCTGTCGTATGAACTCTGGCCATACTTTCAATTATGTCAACAAAGCGATACACAAGCACGCACGCACACATTCGTGCTGAATTATAGACATATCTATCCTTTTCTCCAGCTCCAGCTTTGTGCGAGTAGGCGTGCGCGGGCGTTTGTAGCTAGGAGCACTTTCCGCCGCGGCAAGTCCAATTAGAAGCGTATTAGGGCCAGAGCAATATAATTTGATTAGGGCTCCACACCCTGCCCGTAGCCTGTAGGCCAACTCGCTCCAGTTGCTGCTACTCCTTCTTCCATCCAATCTGACTTCGTGGCCTCATCCACCTGTTGCTGCCTGCTGCATGTTAAGCTGCTTATGAAATGCAGTCAACTTCATAATGATCTTTATCGCCATCATCGAGGCTGTTGCCATTGCCTGCAATGTTGTTGGCCTCTGGGCTGCCTTCGACTTGGCTTGATTAAATTTTCACTGTTATGTTTCCGGTGCTCATTTTTCGCCTAGCCACCGTAATATTTGCAACATCCGCTTCCGGCTTCCGTTTTACATTACTCCTACCACAATGAGCGCAGCCAAAAGCAAAAGCAGCAACAAAAGCAAATTAAATTACCTGCACTCAGAGCGACCCCAGCAACCTCTTGCTGCGACATCGGACTTCATTTCAATTTTATTTTCTGCCGCATTTTTAATAATTCACCATAAGCGTCAGCAATTTTTGCCGTCTTGTGTCCAGACGCCATAGTTTTTTCCACCCGCATACAAGATGGCGGCCGGACACGAGAGCCCACGACAGCCGCTCGCCCTGGCGCCAGTCTCGGTCGCGTATTAGATTTTTACAACCGTAACTAATAGTCCCATTTGGCTTATGGCCAGGCAGCCGAGTAGCACAGTGCCACAGTGCCACAACGCTGCGTAAAGGATGTGCATTCAAGCGGCCGAGGCTGTGCTCTGTGTGTGGGCAACAGCTGACCAGGAGCAGCAGCGTCAGCTTGAGTTAACTACATTACGCAACGCTGGTTAGGCCCGAGCTGGCGCCTCACCTTATGTGCAATTTGCGTTTATTATTTGGACTTTTATCTGGCTATTTGCAGCGCTCATTAGATTTGACGCCCGCACTTATTTATTCACTGTTTTTGGGTTTGTTTCTTCTTAACTTTTCTCTTTTGTTTCCACGCAGATCCGCCCACCGTGTCTGTGCACTTGGCCAACGAGGATCCCAGCCGTATGGTAACACGTGCCGAGGGCCAAAATGTCACGTTCAAATGCCGTGCTGATGCGAGGCCACCTGTCACCAGTTACTCCTGGTTCAAGAACGTAAGTGCGCCACAGATTTTCATCAATTTGTCCAACTCCCTCTCCCTCTCCCGCTCTGCATTAAATTGAAACTACCCTGGACCAAGGAACAACCGCTGACGCCTATCAAGCGGCAGACACTTTGGCAATTTTTATTATCAATTGCTTCACTCAGCTTGCCGTCTATCTCTACCTTGCTCTCTCTCCCTCTGTCGCTCAAGCTGTCGAAATTCCTGCGGCAACTTAAGCAGACACTTTGCGGTTTAATTTAATTTACCGAAATTGTTTGCAGCAGCCAGAATTTTCAACGCTGCGAGCAACTCCCCTACATATAAGATGCCAGGCGCAAAATATGTGGCCTATTCGGTTACCAAGTGGCCGCCATTAGCCACGCCCAGATTCGCAATATATAAGGATGCCATGCATAATTACTCACGAAGGCTTTGATTGAAGTCGCCTAGCATTGAAAATTATTTAAGCATTAATCATGCGACAAATAATCCAGAGACTGACCAGAAACTCTACGAAGCCAACAACTACCCATTGCTGATTTAAGCTTCCATTCACATTCCGACAAAAGCCACAAAGCTTGACCGGCATTGTTCGGATTGCCAGTATTGTGTTGTTGTTATTACTAAACGGGCAAGGTTTTGACAACCTTTGACAGTTTCGTTCACATGGGCACATCATCATTTTTCATTGCCCAAGCAAACACTCACTAACACACACACACACACACAGTGGCATAAAATCATATTTTTTCTCTCACATTATTATATTTGCCTTGTGTCTGCCAAGTGCGTGTCTTAGCTTGGCATTTAACAAATTATCCCAGACCATTGTGGCAAAAAAAAACTTTTTAATATTTAAGGCATTTCGTCTTTGGTCCTTCGGATTTGCCTTTTGCCGTTGCCATTTATAAGCGAAAAGCAAAAATCGGCAAAATTTATGAAAAACGATGCGGCAAATGTGCGCAGAAAAAAGTTATAAGGAGCAGGAAAAAGTAAGCAAACTTTGTCACTTCTTCGGTTGTCAGTTCTTTCTAGATTCCTTAATCAGCAGCTTGCTTCTCCCCGTCTAGATAACCTAGAGACATTTTTATTCAGCCAGCTCAGGCTTAAATTTGCAGGAACCAGAAATAAAATAAACTTATGTAATAAGGCTATAAAGTCGACTGGCTGGCTGTTGCATTTCGCGTTAAATGCATTAAAAACGCATTACATATGATGCAACTGCAATTAGCCTTATCTATCAGCAGAGTAAACTGAAATGTTTGCAATACATTTTGCAAATTAACGTATTATAAACAATTAATTTTTATATATATAGTAAAACACAAAAGTCAGTTCGTCTCAACTAGGAGATACCCTTCATTCTGAGCGCATCCTTATAAAAATTCATTGATGGTTAAATATAAAAAGCAGGCACAAACTTGAACTTTAGTTATTATGCTTAGAAAATTTTCCAAATCGCTTACAAGTTGTAATCAAACCCGCTGTTACTGCTTACAGGGTATAAATATAATGCAATTTGCAATTTAAAGCTGCTGCAATAATAATTTCAGTGTTGATTTTTTTATTGAAAGTTTTAACACATGCATAAAATTCAGCCTATGCATTTGATGCCGAAAAATTATGGAAAATTAATTTAAAAATGGCGCAAAGACCAATCGAAATGACGTTCATTGATATGGCAAGTGTCTAAAATGTTGTGTGTTGCGCAGCCTGCAAAATATAAAACAATATACAACATTCAATAATGCCAATAGAGACACTCGAATGCATTTAATTTGATTTCCAATCGTAACCATAATCAAATTGGGTTCACTTCGTGGGCACTTAGACAGTGACATTCGAAGCGTGTGTTAATGACATAAAAGCGAATATATCTCTCGGTGTGGTATATGTGGCTGCTAAGCGGGCTATTGAAATGCGATAGATGTGATTTATTCTGCTAAATATGCTGAATTGCCAGTCCTCATGCGAGGCATAACAGGAAAGGGTGGATAATTGTAAGGCTTGCTATTGAAAATATGTTGGAAAAATATTTTCAAAACAAAATATCATTTGCGGCCGATTAAAATAAGCTCATGATATAGTTGTCCGATGCTATTTAAGAAGCAGAGTGAAACAATTAAATTCCATTTTAGTCAAGATAGCTTTAAACCCAAAAAAGTTTCGCCGAAGAGCTATGGAGAACTTTGTTAGCCCTACGTCTGACTACCGCAGAAAGTCGAAAGGCGCAGGCTTAGTTTGAAAATGAAACCTTTTTATCAAGGTTTATTTTTTGCTTCGAAATTAATACATATTTGCGTGTCAAACGTATGCTCTGAATATGTTGTAAAGATAAATAAACACCCAAGATATTCGCGACCGAAGCTGGGTATCTCATGGTATCTCCTATTCGGGTTAAATTAGAGCTTATTATGTAAGTATATAAATACATATACTCAAATTTTTTTTTAATCCTTGATAATATTTTCTGTCATACCTTTCATCTTGCTAATAATTCATATCAACTATATGTCTACTGCGTGCTTGTTGTTTCTCAGCTAATGTGTTAATATACAACTTATGCTACCATAATCTCTGAAACCGGAGCTAAGATGGTTCATTTTCAATTCCGAAATTGAAGATGCTTCGTTGAGAGTCTGAAACTGAAAGCCTTGCATACAAGTGCTTTCTGTTAATCATTTGATTGCATAAACTTTAATCAAGCCCTTGCCGGAGCTGTTCTCAATTTCCAGATGCACTCGAAACATGTTCATAACGTTTTATTTCTTGCATATATTATGTTTTGCAGGGCATGCGTATGTCAGGAGAGAGCACGGAAATCCTGCACCTGACGCAGCTGGAGCGGGAGAGTGCAGGTGCATACGCCTGCGGGGCCACCAACACAGAGGGGGAGACCCGCAGCTCGAGCCTCACCCTAAAAGTGCAATGTAAGTAAGCAGCTTTGCGGCAGGCGGGCTCGATATAAAAATAAGTATTATAGTAATAGTACAAGCAGCCACAACACTGGCAACAATATGATGGAATAACATGGCGAAACGGAAACGGAAGTTGCAAGATAAAATCAACTTGCTGCAGCTTGCGTGCCCATAGCAACAAAAAAAATATATATACAAATTTAAGTTTGCCAACTTGCGCAGCGGATGAGGAAATTGCTTAGAAATGATACATAGCCCAACTGTGACTATGTGTGTGTGTGTGTGTGTGTGTGTATGTGTGTTTGCGTGCGTGCTTGTTTACAATTGTAAAATTGTTGCTGGCACCAGTCTAAATAACCACCATTGATTTACACACAAAAGTTTTGGCTATAAATTTAACTCTCGCAATTTTTGCTCTGCCAACTTTTTCATAAACCTCACGCACTGCCTTTAGGGAACAGCCGCCGCCAGAATTTTTTTTTCATCAAAAGATTAATGTGCAGTGCATATAAAAACGATTGAACTGTATAAATCAGTCGATCTGTGTGCCCTTTCGTGTACCCTAAGTGAACCCTAAGAGTGGCTCAAGTGGAGCTTGTCCGAGCTGGCACCCATCGTAAATTGACTTCATAGCGTTCACCTTTCGCTTTCAACAGCTCAAAGCTGTTTATACTTTTAATACACTCATGAAGAGCACTGTAAGCCAGTTATGAAATATAAATAAAGCCTCAAAGCACTTTTTAGGAAATGTAAAAAAAAAAATTAGTCCGTTAGCTGCAGACAACTCTTGTATAAAAACTATATAATGAGATTAAGTACGTTTTTATATAGAAATACTTTTTCTTTTTTACCACTATTGGAAATATTTAATTCTATACTAACTTTCTTAGAAACTTTTAATTAAAACGATATTTGATAAAGTTCCGGGCTTAAGCCACATTGATTTAGTTAATCTTTTCCAAACACCGCGATCATCAATTTAAGACGACTTAGTTTGAGAACAGATATCTATATCCTTAAAAGAGTACATCAAAGTCTGCACCTTTAGAAGAACTTTTCCTTGTTTGTTTTCTGTCGTATTGAAAACTTGTGGACCGCTGTCCTGATTATTGCGTAACGACATTCAAGTCGAAAAGTACATGTGCATACATACTTATAGCTCTCTGACATCCGCAATCCTCTTACATGACGGAAATTTACAAAGGAAACTGATTCATTTTTCAGTGCTCGAAAGTCGGAAATGCACTGCCTTTGGATACGACAGTTAAAGTAGTTTTTATTTCGAATTATGAAAGTTTCAAGCATTGAGCTGTGGGTAAATTTGGCTCAACTCACACACAAGAGCAACAAGTACCTGTGCACATCCACAAGTCCTTTAAAGCATATTGCGCTGATATGCAGGCAACTTGTGATAACAGCGCCAAGTAATAAAGCCTCAAATACTTATCAGTCTTCGCGTGACTTACATTTAAAGGCGGCTTTCAGCGCCAGGCAACGCCAGCTCAGCGCGCACGCACACAGCACACATGCGTCTTCATGTATATATATTTGATGTACATATGTCTGGCAGACAGACTTGGCCCGTGGGCTAGGGTGCAACTTCCGTGTATGTGGTCTCATTTTACAGTCAAGTGAAAGTAAAGTCGACAACATCTTCTTCAATACCTGCCACACACACACACTAGCAAAAATGCGCGCGCACAGCTTTACCCGCTTTTTTTTTGTAGCATAAACAGGACAACAACAACGGCAGGGCCCACGTTCATGAAACGGAAACATGTTAATTACTATGCTCAAGGCTATGTAGCTGGCTCGACTTTCTTTTGGATTTAGCTTGCTCTTTCTTTTTATTTTTATTTTTATTTTTGTTGCTTAACTCCAGAGGCGTACAGACTGTTTACTCTATTGGGCGCCTGGGTTGGGTGCTCTCATATTTGAGAGCTGAAAGGAAAATTTTAAAAAAACGAAATGTTATGCGGCTTAACGACTTTTTCTTTGACATGCTTGAATGCGATTTTCTTTTGGTTTTTGCATCTTTTCAGTCTCGCCGCGCTGTAAGCCGGGCACTGAGCAGACATCCATTGGAGCCATCAACATGCACTCGATACAGGTCAAATGCGAGGTGGATGCCGATCCACCAGAATCGGTCCGATTTAGTTGGACCTATAACAATACGCGAAATGTTTCGCCGGTAAGTATTGGGCGGGCTACTCCCCAATTGCACGCCAAAGTCTTCTTTATCTTCTTGACTTGGAACTGTGATTACGTCCGCAAACGTGCCTCAACTTTAGCGCACAGTTTGTGCCGAGCTTAGCTGAAATTATTGATTCGAAAGCTGGAAAGCTGAAAACTTTCAGCTCGAATGTGGGCAGCTATTAGCAAAACTTGTGTTAAATACTAGGTAGCTAGTTGGGACTCCCGCACAACAATGGCACCCTGACGGGAATCAAACGCAGCAACTTTGTACGTGACTGAATTAAAATTTAATCAAAATGTATAAATTTTGCAGTAGAAAAGCAGAGCATTGTAGCCCGACCAGCTGTGCAAGGTTGGGGGTGAGAACTGCAATGCCTGCAGACAGAGGGAGATCGAGTAGAAGACATGCATATGCGAGTCTACTAAGCACTGGGACAGCTGTGCACAATAAATAAAGTAATTCATTTACCGCAAAAGTTATTTGAAAATCTGCACGAAAATCCTGTGAGTCACAGGCAGAGCCACAACTAGTCCCTTCTGGACCAAACTGAACTCAACTTGGCTCGTTTCGACTTATCCAACTGTTTGCATTGCAATAAAAACCTATTTGCCTTAAAATATTTATGCTAACCCAACTGCCGGACTATACGACTGCCCAACTGTCCGACCAACCGACTGACTGTTGCCAGGCTCCAATGATTTTGCCTACGTTTGCAGAAAGATTCGTAATCCTTGTGCTGCTGATATCCTTGTGCTTGCAGGTGCTGAACTCCAGAATACAATCGAACGGACTGGCCAGCACGGTGACGTATCTGCCGCAAACCGACTCCGAGTTAATAACGCTCGCTTGCTGGGCCAGCAACACGGTGGGCAGGCAAACGGCACCATGTCTGGTTCACATACTGCCAGCAAGTAAGTAAAGGAAATTGTTATTACCCCACTCCCTGCATCTGCAACTCCCCCATCCTGCCTGCCTGGCTGCCCGAAGATGCCGACATTGTGTGCAATTTAAACAAGACGCCGCCGGTGTCTGAATTGGTGTTGGTTCTGGTGGCCATGTCGATGTGATTGTGGGGGTATCTATTATGCACACCAGAGGATCTACTTACATAATTGGTTGGTGTTTGTATGCGCTGCAATTGAGGCAGCCAGGCAGCGCCTTGGCCAAACCCATGGCAAATAATCATCAGAGTACGCGGTCTACCTGCAGCTCATATCATTATAAGGTCTTCGGCCAAATTTGGACGTTATTAATGCAAATGGTGGGCGTGTCGCTGCCTCACCTTTATTTGCGCAAAGTGGCGAAAATGATGCCCCAAATTCAAAATGTAAATTGTTACCAACGCCAACTGTAAATTATCCTGCAATAGACTATTAAGAGCAACGCCTGTCCTTACAGCCCCCCCTCCTCTCTTTCTCGCCCTGCAGATGCACCCGAGGCGCCAAAAGCCTGCGAACTGCGGAACGATACCGTCCTCGAGGTGGTTTGTGTGGCCGGCAGCGACGGCGGACTCTCGCAGTACTTCATGCTGGAGGTGGTGGGCGGTGATTTACTGTATGCCAGCGAGTCGGCAGCGGCGGGCAAGGGTCAGTTCGGCGAGACGGTTGGCCAGGGCGACAATGAGATATCCACGCTCAATGATCAGGTGAGTCCTCAATTCAGTTCAAACGTATTTTCAACACGTGCAGTTGGCGTTCAGGGAGTCTGGCGCACTGATTGAATTACAGTTAAGGTACGGGCCAGCGAGCGAGCGGGTTGCCTGAGGCAGAGCCACAATTTGAATCGCTTGAAATCCATATGGTCAATTAGTGTGCTCGTCCCTTCTGACTTTTCTGCTTGAATTATTAATGAATATGATTTTGAGACGAGGCAGACGGGCCAGTTGCTCGGGTTGAGCCAATCGGCTCAAGCGTAAAAAGGACAACATAATTAATGCTATGAGTTTCCATTCGAGGCAAGCAGTTTAACCAACTGAGTGGACAAAGGATGGACGGGGCCTCGACTTCATCCATAAGCCAACGCGGTGAACACATGCTGAGTTATTAAATTATCTCTGTCACTCGTAAAAGAGAATATCATATGAAAATTTCATTTCATTTCGTTTGGTTGCATTCACCAACTTAAGTTAGGCAGATGAAGGGGCTTGGTGAGAGCGGGAGCTGGGTGGGAAGTCTGGTATACGCCAGTTGCTTGCTTTGCTGATGAAGCGCTGGGCAGGCGACTTTATTAGCAATGTAGCCAAGCGCAAAGCAACGACTGGGTCAGGAGCCGAGCAGAGGCAAGCGGAAAGGATGATGAGCAGGACATGGACTCCGGCCAACGTCGGACGTTTGCAGCTTTAAAGTTTCACGCTAGATAAAAATGGCATACACCAAGGGTCGTGGGGGCGGGGCAGCTACATTGACAGCAGCTACAGTACTCAGTGTGAACGGTAGACGGTGGACGGTGGACGGTGGACGATAGTCGCCGGGCTGTGGGGCGCTGGGTTGGGATGGCATAAACGCCGCAAGGACAACATAAATTACTTACGCTTACTTGAGTGGGAATTTGTGCGTAACCAACGAAGCTCACTCGATTGTGTCCTATTACGGCAAACGGATATTCAGTTTAAAATTTCAGACAGCGTTCTGGTCAGAACAATGTGGCATTCCCGACGCCATCCCCCACCCCCCCGATACACACACACTCCATGCACTCTAAACACATTTTTAGGCATGAATAATTATTTATGGGCTGTGTTTTGCCATACTCGTGTGGGCGTGTGCAGAAAGTTTTGGGCACCAAAAGTTGGCAACAAATAAGCGTTGCATACTTTATGTCTAAACCATATGGCCAGCATATTATGATGCGACACATGTCTATCAAGATGTGTATACATATGATACATATAACTCTCAACTGGTTATCTGGTTTTTATTTTGCTGTTTCGTTTTTCTCTCCTTTTTTTCAGGCTACATCTGCACCCATCTTTCGCATACAGGAAAACAGTCCACAATTTCGTTTGAATAATTTAGAGCCGGGACGTGAATATCAATTTTTAGTTTATGCCGTTAACGCAAAGGGACGCAGCGAGCCGCCGGTGGTGATTGAACGTGTGCGCGTGGCTGCACAACTGGGACCATATGGTGAGTAGCCGACTACTGAAGTAAACAAGTAGCAAAAATAACCGAGTGCCCGACTGGCCGACTGGCCGGGTGGCCGAGTCACAAGACAAAAGCCCCACATAAAGTGTGCCAAAATATTTGCCAATTGCCAATCTGAATTTGCCTTTGCCAGTTGCCAGTTACCAGTTGTGGACTACTTTCTGGATGTACCAATAAAGTTGACCGAGTTGGGTTTCTGTTAGTTGGTAGCTAGCAGCAATTGACGTAGCTGTCTAATTCAACGCTTCAGTGAATTTTCAAATCAACGCAAGTTCAAGGAAATCATCTTCAATCAGCCGCCGCGAAAACTGTGCACATGGCGCACGCACAAGCAAAAGCAAGTAACCTGATTCCTTTGCAGCCTGGCTGACTGGCTGGCTGGCTGGCTGGCTTGTAGGTTTGCCGCTGAGGCCGCCCTTTTCTAATCCACTGACTGAGTTATGCAGCGAAGCGTAAAGTATTTCAGCATTTTCCATCAATGCGCTAAGCGAGGCACGCATATTGCGTATACGCAAGGGCGTGCCGCTACAGCCTCTTCATTTTTACCATTCTTAACGACAACTGTGTGTGGTCACATGTGTGTGTGTGTGTGTGTGTGTGAGTGTGAGTGTGGTGTATGTCATTGGCAGTGCCCTTCTTTATTTCGTACCATCGAGCGAGAAGGAGAAGCGAAATTGCTTCAATTTTCGTTTTGCTTAACGGGACGCCGTAGACACTTTGCTTTTATTGTTCGCCTCGCATTAGCATTCGCACTCGTCCATTGCGTATACGTACAAGTAAATTCGTGCGTAGGCAGCAACGAGAACAATGTTGTCATTATTTTCATGCTGATTTTTATTTTTATCTGCATTTCCATTACCATTTTCATTTGCAGTGGCGGCACTGCGGCACCGCCTGTGGCACTGGATGTGGCTGCCTCTGGCTCTGCCACTGCCTTGCCTGCCACACTCTTTGAACATTTCCATTTGCCTTAACGGTGCACAGTTCGAGTTGGCCATAAATCACATATAATATTGACCGATTTAATGCACCTAATTGTGCTTCATACGCAAATGTTCAATTAAATGTTCCTTGTCCACCAACCCGTACTGCGAGCCAGGTCAGTTTCAGTCTATTCAATGAATTTGTTAGTCATTTAAGCCCGACCCTCAGTACGTCTTCTCGTCTGTCGGTCTTAATGCATTCATTCGGCCTCGGAACAATAAATGTGATTACCACAGGGCCGTAGTCGGTGCCAGTGCAAAAAGATCCCTTGAAGGCTCTGATAGGAGTAATTTATGTGAAATTTTAACATTGCCAGTCAGCGCCTTCCTTCGCAGCTTCTATTATTTACACATTGTCTGGGACGACTGCCTCGGTGCGTGTGAGAGTGGCTGTGGGGGGATGGCGGTGTGAGGGTGTTTGGTAATAAATAGGCCAAGACAGCGCCGCTCTGGAGTCACAATATTTACGTGTGAATAACGGAAAAGCCGTCGACGCTTGACGATGACTTTTGCTGCAGATTTAAATCTGTTTGCGTCGAAATGAAAAACACATAAGGCTAAGTTATTCGCATAAAAAACCTAATGAAAAACAGTGAAGGAAGTGCCCACATGAGTCAGGGGAGAGTAGGCAGCAAATAAATTGGTAAATCTGGCATACGCAAACAAATCTGTTAGCCAGAAGCCAAAAGAAAGATAGGCGGGTTAAAGGTAGTGGGTCAAGACTTTGGGAGAATATTAGATACCTCGTGAATGACGTCTTTTATAAAGATAATAATTATAGTGTTTCAAAAATGGCAAAACGGGATAAAGGAGTGCGAATGGGTAAAGGAAGCAGAAATAAAAAGCGCTTTAATATAAATTCGAAAAGCATTCCCGACAATTTCGATTAGATATAGGGTATGGAAATGGCAGAGATGTGGCCAAGAATATTGAAAAGAAAATTGTTGGCAAAGGCCAGCATCATCAATGGCAGCCGCACAACAACAAAAATTAAATTGAGCCGCAGGTGTAGGCAATTTCCACTTAAATGCTCGCTCTAAAAGCCAGCCGAGAGCCACCATAGCAGCCACTTGGCAGTGTTTCTATACGAAGCTCGCAAATGGAGCGGAAATGCTGAAAAGCATAGGAGTGAAAGAGCGAGCTCCTCCTGGCGGGCGGGCAACTGGGCAGGTGGGCGTTTGGCTGAGACAAGACGAATGAATCGCATAAATCTTGCCTCTGGGATCATCTTACAAAGAGTTTGCTGTTGCAATTTCCGCTTCACCATCTTTAGCTGAAAATCTAATAAATATCAACAATGCCTTCCCTTCACATATTGCTTATAATTGGCAAAGCTCTTTCAATCTGGAGCAATCAGCGTCTTGATTTCGATGTCCTTGGCAGCGACGAGCAATTAAAGCCTTATCGAGTTCCTGGCAGCTCCGGGCAACCCAGGCTTCGCATTCCACCGCACAAGCGATTGCCCAATTGGACTAATTTCAATTTTCAACACAATTTGCTACAACAACACAAGCGGAACGACAAATGCTAAGAAAACAGAAGACCCCATAAACAAATACTACAGCAAACCAGTTAAAGCAATCAGTTAAGCAAAAGGCGAAACGTGAGCACACACACAGACACACACAAACACACACGTACGGAGTCCCAAAATAAAACAACAAAATAAATAAATAAATGGCAAATGTAACGCAAAAAAATGAAAATGGCCAAATGAGAAGTGTGGAACAGCGGCTGCTTCCACAAGTTCATACTAATTTCGAGCAAATAACAAATCATTGTGCGCCCCGCCCCTACACAAGACCATTTTCGTGCCCAACAAACTATTTGATTTCTAACCTGCGTCCACGTCTCGTTTTGTTTTATCTCACTTACAGATGAATCTATTCTCTCGGAGGACCCGACGCCCGCGGAAACCACGCATCATGTGGGCGGCGGCAGCAGCAGCAGCGCGAATGGCGTCGGCGCCGGCGCCAGCATCGGCAGCGGTCCAGAGAAGGAGTCGACGCTCCTTATACTTGCCACCGTCGTGGCGATAGGCGCCGTCATTGTGACGTCAATTATCGTGGCCGGCATTGTAGTTGTGTGTCGGCATCGGCCGCGGCCACCTGAGCCGCAGGAGGTGCGCAAAAGCATGCGGTAAGTCTGTCATGTATACCCTGTACACGGGTGGGCAAAACGGCTGACCTGAAACGGTACTTTGTAGATAAAGTCAGCATAAAGTTGATCTAGTTGTAGTCTGAAAGTGAAAGATTGCATAGGGTATCGCCGAGTCGAGCAGTCCTACAATAAATTGTGTGTTGTTGTTTCTTGTTATTGTTTTGACTTGAGCGCATATAAAAACAAATAATGAAATTGTTTGCGCTGCTGCTGCGGCTGTGTGTGCAGAAATAATTACAGCATTATTTATGTGGCGCACGTGTGCTGCAGCAGGAGCAGCAGCAGCAGCAATGGTAGGCAGGCGAAGGGCAGCGGCTGTAGAAGAAGGGGTGGCGGTTGAAGCCACAGCGTAAATAATAATTGTAGCATACTTTTTCGCGCCTTTTCATAAAATATAATTAAAAGGCATAGCGAACGCAAGAAATTAGTGCACATTTAATTGCACGTTTACTTTAAGTTCAAGTCTTTAAAATGCGATCAAATCAATGTGCCTGAACACAATGCCTGGCGCGGCATCAGGCTCATTAAACATTTTGCTGGCAATGACCAAATCGATTAGCCCGCAGCAGCAGACCGAAAACCGTCCGAGGGCCCAAGCTAAACAAAGAGCACGCAGCTGCCCACTAAATTATGCTTAGACTGTAATTAAATTAATTAAACCTGCACCTGACTATGACCCACAAAGGAGCAGAAAAGAATCAAAATGAACGACACTCGCCCTCGCTATGTGTCTGTTTGTATGTGTGTGAGTGTGTATGCTGTGCACCGGAAACGGAAGCCGCTGGCCTGACACCGCCGTACCGCAAAGAGAGTTTCATTTAAGATAAGAAATCAGCGTTAACTTTGAAAGGGTCGCCCAGCAAAGAGTATATAATTAAGCAGCTGCTTAACCTGCAGCTGCCTGCCTGTCGCTCTGCCTCTGTCTCCGTCAATGCCTCTGACTCTCGGCAGCGACAACCATCCGGCCGTCCAGGTAACAGCTACCGGACTCAGGACTCAGGCGACTGTCAGCTGTGGCCCTAGTTGGAGCCTGTGCTAATGAAAGACAAACTTGCAACCACAGTGGCAACTTCAATGTGCGGTGTGTGTGTGTGTGTGTGTGTGTGTGTGTGTGCGTAATGCTTAACTCATTCATTTAGTTACCCCGGGAGTCCTTTGCGTGCGTCTATCTATTTGCTAGCCTGCCAAATTGATGCTGCCACTCAATCGTATCAGACGCCTGATTATCGGTCCACCTACTCGAGCCTGCTATAAAGGGGATTATGGCAATAGGAGGAGTGGACGGTGAACATTTGATGGGGCATTACTTCAAAGCAAAGCCCAACAAATATTAATTAAAATGCGCTAAAGTAAAAAGTTACAAAAATAGCAGCAGCTAGTTGATTGGCTGCCTCCTGCCTCGTCACATTTGTCACATCAAAGCAAGCCGCATGTGGGTCATTAAATGGTCGCTTTACAAATTTGTTTTAGCGGGTGGGGCTAATGATATGGGGGCGCTTTTAATGCGACTCTTGGCCAATTGCAATCATACGTATATTCCATCCGAGAGAGGCGTGTACGCATAAGTACTCCATCAAATTATGTATTATATCAGTGGCTGTGTGTCAGGTAAGCTGAACCGCGCACACCCCCTTGTTGCCAAGTGCTCCAATGCATAAATTTTAACGATTTGCCTTTTGTGGCAAAAGTAAAAGTGCAAATATTTAAACGAACACACACGCACACACGGCAAACACACACGCGGTTTCGTTGTGTGCGCTCAATTTTAACTGATAAGGGCGCATCGGAATTAATTAGCATTTGCGCTAGGGGTGGCCATCAATTACAGCAGATCTGGGAGCAAACAGATTGAAATTTCACGTGTAGTGAACCTCAGCGATGTTGCCCATACGCCACGTGCAACGGGACTATTGAATTGAAAATGTGAAACGGCTTGAAAAGTGGCAGCAGCTGCTCCCAGGTGGCCAACTAATATTGTTGTTCTTGTTGACTTGTGCTGGTCGCTTAGGTTGCGGTGTTTCACTTTTTAACAAATTTGTCGCTATGCAAAAAAATGGACACCGTCCAGGGAACTATTAGCAAGTTGTTGGCGGGCATACCTCTCTGTGTGAGTGCGTGTGTGTGTGTGTGTCTAAAAACTTTTAATAGATTTGTGAGACTTGTTTTTCTTTTTGTTTTATTTCCCACAGGCCGGCGCGCAACGATGTGCCCTCAATGTACATTGAGGAGGATGAGCTGAACGAGTTGGAGGAGGGCGGCGGACGAGCCGCAGAGATACGTGCTCGAATCACACCTGCCACATCTCATCTGTGCGGCGGTGCTGGAGGCGGCGGCATCGGACCCAGCGGCGGCATTGTGGGCGTCGGCGGTCCGCACCATTACATCTCCGAGAGCTTCATACAGTACGCGCAGCCCAGTCTAAACGGTACTATTCCAAAATCTATACTCAACAAACTGTAGCCAGTAGCTGAAGTAGTCTAGTCATGTATCCAACTCTTACTAAATATTCTGTATATCGTATTTAGCTCTCTTGCATCCACTTGGTTTGCCTTTTACCTCTTGAGTTCTGTTTGAGTCCGCACTTAATATTAAGTTGTATTCATAGCTTTAGTTGATTGATTGCTGCAATTTAATTAAACTTAATCGAATTCTATCGACTGTAAATACTTTTTAGATATTTATGCACACAAATTGCCTGCACAAATATAAATGTAAGCGAGTACTTATTATGAGTGGATTCCATGCATATGTAGAATAGCTTAATATCTCAAATGACGTGAAACCAAATTAATAAAATGTCAATGCGACTGTCAATAGGTCCATTAGTCAATCTATTATTTATTCAGTTTCAGTTTTATAATTTTCGAAAATTATTTTTAATAGCATCAAGTGCATGTTAGTCTACATTAAATTAGTTGAAAACGCTAAGCAGGCAACAGGGAAAATCGCGTGCGTGCACAATATTTGTGGTTAATATTGTGTTTTTATTTTTCCATGATGCACACATTTTGACACACACATACACACAACCTCACACACTCACACACTGCTGCATACATACTCCAGTTAGTCTATTTACTGCTGTGGGGTAGAGCGCATTTCATTAAACATTGAACAAGCCAGCAAATAAATTACTTTTTTAATATCCTTGTGTTTGAAATTGAAAAACTAATTGGCCCTCATTTTATTTGCTAAGTAGCTTATGATATGCTATTTTCTAATTAGCATTAATCGAAACTGTTCGTAGTTTTCATTTCCATTGATTCATTTCCCATTTTCAATTGATTGCCAACACTGTAGGGCAGCACTTGAAGTATATACATACATATGTATGCTTACAATGTGTACACACTCGTACAGATTGGCTTACCTTCTGCTACCAAGTACCTATGTTATGTTGTAGTTGTCCTGGGATCCTGACAGTACTTTATAGATAGCTATCTTCAATTGCTCCAAAGTAAAAAGCCACATTCTATCTATCTGTCACTCTAATAGCTTAGCCCCTCTTTCTCTCTCTCTCTCTCTCTCTCTCTCTCTCTCTCTTTGTATCTGTCCTGTTGGTCGCCTTTCACCCATCACCAAACAACTTAGTTAAATTCTAGACTTGAGGATGTAAATACCTTGCCTAATATTTAAAGCAATGTAGTGCACAGATAATTTGTAAAGTTGCAACTTTCACCTGCCTTAACTCCAACCCTGTCATCATTCTGTGGCGCTACTAACGATGCATTCAAACACTGTTACCGCTAACCCATCCTAGGCGACGTGCTGCTACCTTTGCTTGTTACTGCCGGCCACCCGACCAGCCGCTACCGCCGAGCAGCCGACCCACTCCACTCTGCCACAATGTCGGACGTGGTCGTGGCCATGTGCCACCCGGCTGCTGCAAAGCTCTGTGCAACTGCTACCGATGCGTCCGCCTGACCGCCCAAATGTATGCAAACTGAATTTTATAAAGCAAAATCTGTGCAAAAAGCTGAAAAGCAAGAACCAGCTTAGAACAAAAACAATAACTACACACATACTTAGAACTTAAACTAAAGCAACAGATAGAGTGTTTATAGTTGGATATATTCAGATCCAATACATTGCGCATCTGCACAATGTCATCTAAAGCTCCAATTAAGCAACTCATCTTCTCAAATATTTCGTATACGAATATTCAAATAAATGAACAAAATCTTGCTTGATTTCATATTTTAATTTGCCTCCATTGTCATACATCGTCCACAGATCGATTGACTGTACTCACATTTCCACTTTATATACTCTGTTAAAAGAATAGACTAGGGCGACTTTTAACAAAATTCGATATTCCTTTTCATATCGTTGAAATGTGAAAGCGATTCGCTCAAGCTATAAATTTCTTGATTTTGAGGCCAGCGAGAAGATATTTTTAAAAAGCGAACTCCTTTTACCCTTAGCATAGAGCATCTGAATGACGTGAGTTACCGATTTCAAGGCAGTTTGAGGTTTTTTGTTTTGGCTTTCTATGAGTCTCTGGCTGATGACTTTCTCTTTGACATTTGCACTTTGCTGCGCAAATTGCACAACAAAGCCACAAATTTCTTTTAATTTAGGGTATTTTGACAATTGTGAATGGGATTCCTCTAGCCGAAAACGGACCATAAATGTTGCAGCAAGTGGGTCAGCATTGCATGTGTGTGTATGTATGTGTGTGTGCGTGTGCAGTTAAGCAAATCATTTGAAAATTAAAACCATCTCAGCCTCGTGCTCTGGTACTCTGGTACATTGTGGCTGCAGCAGTCTGCTCTTTATCTGCCTCAATCAGGAGCAATAATAGGCATTTTCCAAACAATTAAAGGATTGATTGTTTCACTTCGACAGCATTGACATTGCACAAGAGAAAATGTAATAAAATATGATTGAAGATTTTAAAGTGCTTTTGTTAGGAATTTGTGTGTCAAGTCTTGATGGTCAAAAACCACTGCACACGACAACAACAAAGTACCGACAGCAGCAACCCAACAAGTGACATGACAATAGCATGCTCATATGTTAAATATTGTATTTAAAAAGGACAAATGCTGCAGAGCCCTGCTGGCATAAAGAAACGATGCGGCGTCACTACAGTGGGGCATTTTAGATGCATTCCTTGCAAAAGCCATAGCTGCGGAAGCATTTAACATATGTATTTTATATGGAAAGCTTTTTGTTGGCCTGCCAAGAATTTGATTTATCAAGAGGCAAAGTTAAATTAGAATCAGTTTCAATAGAGTTATGTAAAAAGTCATTTGCCTATTGCTCATCTCTGAGTCATCAATAAGACGTAGTGTACGACTTTTTCGAAGCTATACATAATATAATTTGCAGATACAACGTTTTTCATTTGAAGAGTCATTATTTTTGCTTTTTAATTTCACATGAAATGCTTTTTGAAACTCTAAATGCCGAGAACTGAAGCAAAAATATGTGCTTTAATTCAAACACAATGCAAAGATTTTTTCAACGACTTTCATGCTGCGGTTCCACTGTGCAGCGCATAACGAATGAGGTCGTAATGTAGCAGCTATTTGTATTGGTATTAGAATTGGTATTTGTGTCTGCGTCTGTGTGAAAAAGCCCTTTGGACACGTTGCACACAGCTACAACGGTGCTACATAAACATGTAGCACGAGTACACAAGCGAGATACAAAGTTATATGCAAATACTTGCTTGCATCTAGTACTCGTGCGTTGCACGCTCGGCGAGTGCAGCAAACAAATTTGCAAAATATGCTGCTCGCTCTGTTTACTTTGCGAGCACGTGTATATTTTGTTTTAACTTTAAATTGCATAAATTTCAATTATGTTTTGCAAAAGCACTAAATTAAAAAGCATAAATAGGCAGACCATTTGCGAGCATGTCAACATTCCGAATGCAAATATTATTCAACGGGCAGTTGTGACGTATACGTGATTTTAAATTTAATTGAATATGCAGAGGCCAGCCCACTGCCGCCTTTCAGCCCGCATTATTTGACTGTAATGCGAACACTGCCTCATGCAAAGGTCACAAATTAGCCACATTGTTGTTCCTTTTTTTTAAACTTTTACTCGGTCCCATGCCTGACAACTTTTCAATTTATAGGCGCCGCAGGCGCTGCGCCGTGACTTGCCGCAGCGCCTCTCACATTTGACAGTTAAGCATATACCGTATGCCCCTCATACACAAGCACAGAGAGAGGGTGAGAGGGAAATAGAGACCTGTACACATGCACCGAGCTGACTTGCTCTTGTTCACAAGACACCAACAAGTGCCAAAGTCAGACTGAAGTGTGCCCGGACGTTTCGAAAATGTTGGTACTGTTGGCAAAAAGCTGAGGGTCTAAACAGTTTAAGGCCCGTCGCATAAAGAATACTCTTCAGCTGAAAAGCTATTTGTGTCGCCTGCAGAAAAGTGCAAATGAATATATTTTAATAACCTTAAAAGCGTGACGCAAAAAGTCATATTATGGGTATCAAAACAACCGCATCCAACCAATTATTTGAATAATAAAAATATTTGATAATTCTTTCACTTTTATTTAAAATACTTACTTTCACTCTCTCTCTCTCTCTCTCTCTCTCTCTCTTGCCTTGTTTATCACTTTACTTATCTTCAACTCTTTCGGTGCTTCTCTTCCGTGAAAACTACTATGGACTTTTTCTTAAGAAGGTATACCGCATCGTTTTACTTCTCATTTTGCTTCTTCCTCTGAGCATCTTGTCGAAAGTCATATACTCTGATGGCACCCAGAGCCGTGCTCAGACAGAATGTCAGCACTTAGAGCGCACTAATTCAAGTGAAGAAAGTGAGTTACTCACATGTGTGTGCATGCATATATTTGCATATATGTATGTGTAAGCATGGAGCACCATGCTACATAGCCGCCAAGCCTGTCAGCGCCCAGCGACTGCTGCTGCTGTCATTAGCCAACATTTTTAATTGCATACAGCCTCGCTAGGTGGCGCCCGCGTCGCAAATTGAATAAGGGGTAGGGGACCAGGTGATGGGTTACTGTGGGGCAGGCTAGGAGAGTTTAGCTTGTGTTTTCTTTATACTCAGCGAACCTCTTGCGCAGGCAAATACGTTTGGCTTTTTCAGCTTTTACATACAACGCTATAAGCGCGCTTGTGTGCTCGTTCGCGTGTGCGTATGCGTGCGTGTGTGTGTGTGTGTGTGTGGCTGTGTATGTAGGTATTTGTTTTTGCGTATCCTTTTTTTGTGCACATTTGTTTCATTTCATGCTGCACCATTCATTTTGCTCGACATTTTGTCTTATTGTTGTTATTGTTGCTGTTGTTGTCGCTGTGTGTGGACGTTTGTTTTGTTTGTCTGTGCGCGTCATGAGTCGCGTCGCCAACCGGGTAACATTCGTGCAGTTGTCCTTGGGCTCTTACTTTTTGCGCCAGCTGCCGCAAGATATGTGCTACACATATTGTTACATACACACATACACAGGTGTGTGTGTGTGTGTTGGATGCTTTTGGGCTCTTGTACACTTCAGCGGCACTCGTCTAATTAGTCAAAGTTAAGACTGGGCCCGCAGTGGCAGCCAGTGAAAAAGAGGCCGTCTCAAGTCACTAAGAGTCGTCATTTGTTGCGGTGCTGCTCGCTTAAAGGCGACTTAAAGCGTGCTGTAAAAATTGTAACAGCTTTATAGGCCTTGGGCGCTCTCAACATCAACTTTGATGTCTGTGGCCGAGCCGCAAGAAGTGCCACACAATTTGCTTTGGCAACATTGTTGATGCGGCCTTTGCTGCCACACGCACTAGCCGGGCTCCTCTGTGGCACTTCAATGTCAACGCTCGTTCATTTGTCGCCGCACTTCCGCTCCCCTTTCCCTGTTTGCCTTTGACTATCAGAGCTGGCAACATTTTTGCAACTTTTGACATTTTTAATGCTGCCTGGCATGGCGTGAAAGTAAACGTGAAAGGTCCCACACAAACACACACGCACACACACACACACGCACACACACACACACACACATACGCAATGTGTGACGCCATTTGGACGTTGCTTTAGTTTGTGCGTCTTTATGACTCAAAGACGCCACACAAATGTGACATAAAGGGCGATAATAATAAAATATAACACAGGGCGCTATGGCAGAACGAACGTCAAATAACAAACTGCAAAATCGTAAAGAACGGCACCGGCAGCCAGCGCTAGATGGCGCTTGACCTGGTCTCGAAGTCAGGGTGTGCTGTGCGGGCGACACAATAAAATGTATTCGGACATAAATGTGCGATAAAAATTAAGAAATTGTTGAATTATTTGCTATTTACGATCCAGCCGGGCAGATCGCGAAGGGGGGAATATATTAATATTTATATGCTGTTGTTGTTTTTGTTTTTGTTTGTTGTTGTGCTTGGTTGTTGCTCTTATCGGCGCACAGTTGGTCACGCTTTTGATATTTGCTAATAGTTACGATAACTTTTTCTTTTACATATTTTTCATTTGCTGCCAAAACAATTTGCAACTGTTATATGATGTCATTTTGCCAGTGTTATGAATTTCGGCAAAGCAGAAAATAAAAACAAATAATAATAATAATAATAAAGTCAATAAAACAAGCATAACTAATCGGTAAACACAAATTGTACTTTTGTTTTTCTTCCCACCCACAACTGACTCTGCCGCACACACATACACTTGCGCATTACTCACTATTAATTTTATAAATTTCGCACACACACACTTATTTACACACACACACACACACACACCTGTACATTTACGCCATTGTTGTTGATTTTGTTTTATGCCAACCAACCAAAGTGTATATTGCAGACCCGGATCTAATATTACCGCGCGGCGAATTGGAATTTACGACACTGGATCCCACGCTGAAGTAATTGTAAAGAGTAATAATATCTACCGCAGTACACATAGACTTCTTTCCCCTGTCCCTGTCATGAAGCTCTATGATAGCCATGGCGCCTTGAGTCGCACATTGGGCAACATAGTTCATGACAATTTTATTTTACATAGCTGTAAATTTTTAGCCTAAATTTAAATATATGAATGTCAAAGGTAAAGCACACATGCATATTTCTATTGATGTGTGTGTGTATCAGATACAGGGGATAAGCCCTTATGTGTATAAGTGTCATATAAAATGCAATGCAAAAACAAAAACTAAGTTTAAAAAATAATAATAATAACTAAGCGGCTTTGCCACTTCATAAAACATGAATTTTGTAAATCTTACCACATACATTAATACACCCACACATTCAAACGCAATCAAAAACAGATGAAAATCAAAAAAAGAGCAAACCAAAAACGAGCATCATCGCCATCAAATGTACATATATAAGGGGCAAACATGAATCAAACTGCATTTAAATGTTAAATACTAATTGTAATTATAATAAACATTTCAGTTATTAAGCTAGGTATTAGGCCAAGTTTAGTTATTAGTCTGATTGTGTGTATTTCAAGTAAATTTAATTGTAATTCGACTCAAAGAGCATAGCGGAAACCCAATAACAAGCACGGGATGCAGACGAGAGCCAATGCTAAATCAAAATTCATCAAAATTAACAAAATATTTAAACTAAGTGCTCGATGTATACTTAAGTTACGTGAAATGTATATTGGAGAATATTCAATTGGGAAATTCCCTAAGAAAAGCGCATAACTAGGCGATACACTGTTCTCGATTGAGGTCAGGAATAGCCCACATTGTACATTATACATTCCGACAGGTATTGCAAGAATTCATAGCAACAAATTAATATCGAATTATGTATTTTTGTGCAATTGGGCAGGCAGGTCAAGAATTTATAGCAACAAAACAATATCGTATCTGTTAACCGTCAGTCCTAGTTGGCAGCCCAATGAGGCGCCTGCAGCCTGGCGAACAATTAAAATGCTAAGGAAATTTAAGAAGCCATCTTTGGCGTCGGCAATGGATATTTTTTCATTTCATGTATATGCAATTTCCATGAAAATTTCGAAACAAGCAAATTTCAGGACCCGCCCACTGAACCTGACGTATTGATGTAGGCGCTGTGGCTGACTATATATATATATGAATTCATTCATGAATATTCTATTACCATAACAAAGGCTGGCCAAAACAAAGTAAGCGCAAACTTCGAGTGCATAATGAATAAATGTTAAATAAATTAAAGACTCAACAGCCAGCGCAACCACAAATCTAACTTCAACAACAACAAAAAGAACAAAACAGACAGCAAATACGGCAGATAAATAGCAACAACTACAATAATATAAATTAATTCATTGTATGTACATGTTATAAATAACTAAAGTAATCGACTAAAAATACATAAAATCTAAATACTCTAGCATTTATGGATAGCATTACACACATATTCATGGATGTGAGTGTGAATGTGAATATCAAATATGCAAAACAAAATGGCAGCCTAGCAAAATATACACTGCGTATGCGTAACAAAATAAATTAAAATTATACCATAGATCAATAGCAAAGCGAAATGAGAGCGGGTCGAGGCGTAGCAAGTCGAGCCAATTGAATTTCCTTGTACTTGCCCGCCTTCAGGATCAGCCTCTCGCATCTCACTCCCTTTCTCTCTATCTCTCTGTCTTTCTCAGAAAATGGAAAATTACAAAACTAAACTGATTATCTTTAAGGTGAGGTTAGTTTTACAGATGAAATAAACTTAAATTAAATGGTAAATATATTTAACAATTAAGTTGAAACTACTGAGTGTGTTAATAATATTAATGAATACTTAATAAATAAACTGAATTAAAATAAAATATCCATTTTGCATTCAAATCAATTTCAATTACTTGCATTTAGCGCAACATCAAACTCCAAATGGATGCCAACTTTGCCGCGCTGCTAGCCAACTTTTCCCATGGGCTAAGTGATATTAATGCGCCTTAAATCCTGCAAAGAGCCAAAACATTGGACCTTCAAGGACTCTCGCACTTGCTCCCATTAACTGCACTTCTAACTGCAGCACCTCCCGCCCAGCCCGAGGCGAGTAAACGAAACAACAGAAAGGCGGTTAGCTTAGTCGGCCTTCATTAATTTACACGGCGAGTTGGCCAGCAGCTTTTCTTGAATGGCTTGCCACTTGACTTGCACTCGGGATGGTAGCTCATTCCATCAAAGGAGTCAATGAAATTTGAAGCAAACTCGCTGCAAACTTTTCAACTGCAGTTTATAGTACAATTTAATGCTAGTTTGGTAAATTGCATTGCATATTTTCCCTACAGATGCAACTTTTTAGCTCGGCCAGTTCAATAGAGAACATTAGTTTTAATGCTTGAGCTGCAATTAGTTAGCTGCATCACTTGAGGATTTGTAATTTCTTATCTTCATTTCATGTCTTATGAAGTATTTTGTAGAACATATAATTGACTTGATAATTGACCTTAGGCACTACTTAATATCAATACCTGTACTCCTAAGAGCAGAGGAAGAGTTGGCGGAATTGGCCATATGGAAAAACATAAATATTTGACGGAGACCTTGCAATATGTGGTTAGGCAGAACTATATAATTGTTACCTATCAAATAAAAAATTTTCAAAGAATCGTTTACCTTTATCTAATTCCTATTTCAGAGCATAAGACTCCATGCCGCAACCTGCTTGACACGCATTCTATTTATTTAATTTTTATAAATCGGGAGTGAATGGAAATCCGGTCTAATGTGGATTGGCAAAATGTTTCCTTTTTGTTCTCTTTTTTAAGATCAGGTTAATAAATTGCCAAAGCGTTCTAGTTAAAAAAGGGTTTAATTCGTACCGATTTTCCATCGTGCATTCTGCCATTTTATTACATTGACACGCCATGGAATAAAATTACTGAGACTTCTCTGCAGCAAATGCATGAACTTTCTTTGTATTTTCGCTTGGGTAGAACGAGGGAGAGAGGACAAACTAATGCCAGATAAATCCACAGATTTGCACTTAAGTGCGTAAATCGAAATGTCGGCATGGCGGTATGGTATGAGGTAGGTTGAGCAGAAAAATTGTTGAATTGTTGGTTGCGTTCTTTTCTGTGACAGGCCTTGCCTTAAAGCCTTAACCTTAAAGCTGATGAGCAAATGAGACGAGGTTTAGCTGGCCAAATCTTTGGTCATTCTGAATACACAAAGAAGTGCTTAGCCGGAACATAACTGCTGAAATATTAATGCTGCAGCAATTGGGCGGCGATCCAAGAGTCGGCCGTAAATGCCAGCTTTGAATTCAATTAGCCTCGCGACCATCTGCAACTGAGTAGAGGTGTATAACACACCCGATGCTCTGCAGCAATTATTGAATTCTCTTGTTGACAAAACCCTTAAAAGAGTTGTAACTGCTCACTCACACTAGGCACCACTTGGCATTCATGGCAGCCATAACAATCACAATCCCAATCACCACCACATCAATGTCCGCCTTTTGCAGGCCAATATTGCCAGGTAGACATCCTGACCTGGTCGCAGCTTAAATTTGTCAGGCCACAAACGCTGTCGAGGCTTGCAGCGCCTGCAGATATGCCGAGCATCCTGTCCGTTGTTCTTTTTTTTCTTTTTGTTTTTCATTTCTGTTGGGCTGCTCGTCAGCGGATGTCGTGGGGCTGTCCTGCACTGCCAGATGCTCACATTGGGCCATCGGCAGCTGCTAGGGGAGCAATCAGCTAAAGCGACGAGTCGCTGAGCGAATCTATGCCAAGGACATGGCAGGCGGAATTGTTTTGGCGGTCGCTTATTGTTATGTATATCTCCCTCTTCCTTCCTATGAGGATGCGTGTGTGTGTGTAAAAGTGCAATCAAAACATGCTCAATATAGACATTTCCAACGTTTATTTGCAACAGCTGCCTTAAATCTAGACGTAAACTCTTTAAAACGCGTAGCTCGCGGCTTTTATTCATCAGCTTTTCATTTTTTAAATATGTTTTATATTTATTTTATAAAGCGAATTTATTTTTTTTTATAACCTTTTTCTGTTTATGGCTTGTTGTTTGTCGCTTAACACAATTTGCAAATCTGGACTTTTTGTGCTGAACGCAATTATTCTCCATTTACAATGCACCCAATGCGAAGCGAATGCAGACACACCGGCTGCAAAAGTCAAATGATCGGCCAGAATATACCTCCACCAAGTTGAGTACTATGATATTGCCTTAAATATTATACGAAATAATTGGCTGATATCCCGACAGGCATGCTTAGTAAAGTGCTAGACTATCTACATCTAAGTCTACTAAAGCTTCTGTGCATTTAACTGTGGAATATGCTCATACCCTTTTAGCCAATGGTTAGAGTATAGAAACAAACAGCTTGAATGGGGCGCGCAAGCAGACAAGTAAATAAAATTCCAAATAAAGTAAAAATGTTGAAATGCCAAAGAAATGCACGGTACATACTTTACATTTATTCATTCGCCGCCGCTGCCGCTGCTTTTGCTGTTGCTTTTAAGCAAGGACAAAGGCAACAAGCGCGGCAAGGAGACGACTCCTCATGCTTGCTGCTGCTGCGTCGTGCTGGTAAGCCGAGCGTTAATAACAACGCTTATCTGTAGCATTAGCAGCGTACACAGCAATAGCAGAAGCAACAAAAAAATTTATAAAAAAAAATATAACAAATAAAACAAGAAAAAAAAAATGATGATAATGAAAAACTGAAATAAAAGCGCAACAACAGCGCCGAATAGCCGAACAGCAAACAAAACAGAACAGAACTGAACTGAACAGTGCTGCATAGCAGAGGGAGCTGTAGCGGCCGTAGGGCCAGGGGGTGCGAGACAGGGGGCGGCATAAGTAATTCAAGCTGCTGTTGCCGCTGACGCTGCTGGCGTGACAACTTCAACTGACAGCCGCAGCACTGAGCATAGCGCTGCGCGCCATCATCCATTATCAGCAGTTGGCCATCTTAAAGTGCTGCAAAGCAGCAAAAAAACAAGTAAAAAAAACACAGGAAGCAAGCGCAGGACACAAACAAAACCAAAAGCAACAACAATAATGAAAACAACAAAAAAAGAGTTGAACAAAAAGTCAAAATACAAAAACAGTCGGACAGCGGGCGGTCGCACAAAAGACATAAAAAGTGAAGCAAAAATGTCGCATTGTTTTAATGCATTTGGCGCAGCAACACTGACGCTGATGCTGATGCTGATGCTGATGCAGATGGTGATGGCTGATGCGTGTTGCTCTGTGGCTGATGCAGAAGCAGCGTACAAGCACGCTGCGTTTGGAAAAAGTCATGCCAGGCGACAGCAGCGAAGGCCCGCGGCTGAGGCTATCTCGCATTACGTATACGCCGCGTGCTACTTGCCATTCGGATCACTGGCAGCAAAGCCTGATTACTGTGGATGTTGTTGTTGTTGTTGTTGTTGTTGTTGCTGGTGATGTTGTGGTTGGTTTTGTTTATGCGCCTCTTTGGTAGCGAACTGCCCCGGAGAATCCTTAACTGTGAACGTCACATAGTAGCGTTTATTGCTGTCCAACTTGTCCGCTGGCAGTGAAATTAGTTGTTTGCTCTTTCCGTGTGACAGCTCTAGAGCAACTTTGTGGCTGCACTTGCCGCTGCCGCCAAAGCCGACATCGACTCCAACGCCAACACCGACCCGCCCGCTGGAGGCGCGACCAGTGGTCAGTATTTTTGGCAGATAAAAACTGCTAACGCTGCCGGCCTTTTTGTACGGTCCAAATCCAAACTTGGGCATCGTGTGGTGATTCATCATGGGAACTGGCAGATAGCGTACGAGAGAAAGAGAGAGATAGCGAGAGAATGAGTTATCCGAGTGAAACCTAAGATTAATGATCTGCTGCGATCGGCCTAATTAAGTGAATGCCATTTTTATGAGCGCACTCGAAATGAATTTCAGCTGCCAGCATCTAGTTGACAGCCAGTTGCATTCCAGTTTGGCCACTAGAGCATGGTAGCTCGGGGGAGACATGTGTCAGGTGTCAGCGCAGTGCGAGGACACTCTGTGAAATTGCATTTAATGGAAAAAGCGTAATAAGAAAATGAAGCCAAATGCGCAGACATTTCAACTAGAATGCTGAAAAGGCAATTGCCATGAAGATGTTCCATGCATTCACTCCCCTGTTGTTGTTGTTGTTGTTGTTGTTGTTGTGGCATGCAACTGCCAGCCGTCGCTCAAAGCGCATTTGGACGGATTAAGCGGGTTGTGATCCGGTATTAATGTTGTCTTGGGCGCTCTAACTGGGCGAATACACATCAAGAGCGTACACAGTATTTGAGCAGAAAAAAAATGCGTTTTTAATTTGGCATAAGCCGGACGCATCCTTTGGCCCAAGTCCCCGTCCCCGTCCCCATCTGCCTTCGTGCCCGCGTCCGTGTTCGCGCAGCATAGAAGCTATAATAAAAGTTGAAAAGCCGGAATGTGGCCAGCAAAAAGGGGCAAAGCAAAGAATATTTTTAATACGCTCGGCGCTTGGCTGCTCGGCCAAATGAATAAACTGCTCGTAATTAGGATTTATTTTAATGCTGTCGGCGCATTTGGCGCCCACGCGCGCCACTTTCATCTTTGTCTTTGAATGTTGCCCATCCGCTTGACCCACTCAGAAGGCGGTAACAAAACTGTAACAGCTCATGGCCAAGTGATTCGACCGACCGTCTAACCAGCTGACTGGCTGACCGTCTGACCGTCTGACCATCTGGGTCTTTGTCTACTTGGCTGGTGCCATTTTTCACGCTTTTAAAGAAATGCTTAACGGACTTAGGCATTGACTTACTGTAGGCGGCGCAGGGTATGCCCGTATAGGCGTGGGCTGCATGGAGGCAACGATGTGTCTTGGTGGTGCACTGCAGCGCCTTTTCGTACGCATTGTAGTCGGGGCTTAGCCTACGCTCCGCCTGCAATTGAATGTGTCGCTTGAGCCATGTAGAAATATAAGTATAATCTGGGCAACTTGCCTCCTCGTAAACCTCGTTGATGTTCTGAAAGTTGTTGGTGCCCGGCTTCTGCAATCCCTTGAGCGTCTCGTAGAGAAACAGCTCAAAATTCTTAAACGTATATTCGCTGAAATTGTAACGCCGGAGCCTTGTGCCAGTTTCGCCGCCCAGCAGCACGCACGATTTGTGATAGTCGTCAACGGCGCGCTTCACCAGCACCGCTTCGTTCAGCTTGTTTGAGCGTATTTGTAGCGACTTGAGCTCCAGCAGATGCTGGAAGATCTTGCGCTCCATGTAGTATCTGCAAAGAGTATAAGAGCATGCAAATATGGAAAAGGCGCCATGGCAACCATCGCCAGAAAAGCGCAGCATTGTCCTTATTCCTCCCCATTTCTGGCATCTCATCATCATCAGAAGCTTTGCCAGCTAGCGCATAAAATAAATGTTTGCAAATGTACGTAAATTGTCATTTTGATATTTTGCGAAGAAAACAAAGGCCGCGCCTGCTGTGCTTCTGTGCCTGTGCCTGACATAGCTCGAGGCCCAAAAGGAGCCCAACGCGGCACCCGAACCCCTAGCAGGAAACACAATGCGCACAATACGCGAGCGCAATAAAAGGCATCATGTTATTAAAATTTCAAAAATACTAAAAGTGCGTTCGCGCAAAACAAAAATTGTATTAATAATTGAGAGAGCACATAAAGCGGAGCATGTCGAAATTAAAGCCACCAGAGGCCATGGCATAAAGAGCAATCGACAAATTTTTACCAAAAACCTAAAAATTGTTCAAATAATGAAGTAGTTAGGTTCTGGCCCGGCTGCCCGGCTGCCTGGCTGAGCTTAAAGATCTCACTGCCTCCGGCTGCACACTTGAAACTTTGCAAATCAACCGCCGGCTCTGAGACTTTTGGCAGCGCCCCGGGCAATGTATTTTCCCAAAAACTGAGCAAATTTGTCGAGTGCACTCAGCACAGCGCAGCGCTGAGCGGCGTTCCAAACTTGTTTATGCATTGAGTCGAACGAGCTGGGTAGAGGTAGTGGGGCTGCGAGTGGGAAAGTGTCGCGAATTGGCTGGCAATTTATGCAGTTGCCGCTTGACACTGTTCGCCACTTGGGTGCACTGCGAAATTATGCGAAGCAATTTCGACTTTGAAACAAATACGGTGCGCAAAACTACGAACCAACCAACGATTGGGCAACTAACAGAGCTGGCAGCAGGTAAAAGTGCTGCTTCTTCTGCATTCGTCTGCGCTTCAACCAAAAAGTGGCCATTGGCTAGCAAAAACTGCGTGGCAAATTGCCCCTTAAACTGGCCTGAAAAGCCGCACCGGGCGACGATGTTGATGAAATCTCTGGCTGCTAAGCTGCCAGCGGGATTTTGCGCCACAGCCAACAGATCCGGCCAACCACAGCTCCTTGGCCACTGCTCTTGCGTCCATTTGGCTGCTCCGGCTATTCTCGCCCCGTCATCTCCATCTTCAGCTCTGTCTCCGAGTGGAGCTTCAATGCTGCTTGTTTGCCGCAGCGCTTTTCAATTTTACGCCTCGCTTTGGCTTCGTTCAGCTGTGCCTTAATTCTTTGCTCGACTTTCCTTTGCAAAACTATTTGTGCCTCGCACTTTTTTGCCTTGCCCAACGATTGCCTTTTTTTTTTTAATATTTTTTTTTTCGCAAGTGCAAATAGTTTTTCCACCAGTGTCCTTGGCACATTTTTTGTATTTTTATTTATTTTTCTTTCTTTTTTTTTTGCCGCTGGTTTCAGTGTTGCCGCCGCTGTTGCTACTGCTGCTGCTGATTTCCGTTTCCGTTTTACGTTCGCTTAGCAGAACTTTCATTGCATTTTCTTGTGCGCGTTGATTTCGTGTGCTACATTTTTCAGTGACCGACTCACTGTCACGCCCACTGCCTCCATGACACCCAGCCGCCGTGCAACCCTGCAAACCCTACCACCCCTGCCGCACCAACGCCGGCGGCATCCTGTTTGTGACACAAATTTGACAAGCAAAAAGTGCGCGCAGCACCAAAGTGGATGGAGTGGAACACGGCCCAAGGGGGCGTGGCACGAGCGTGCGGCATGTGGCGCAGGCGGCTGTTGACAGCGGCAGTGGCAACGAAATGCAAAGAAATTAAGTGCGTCACGAGCTGAACTAGCAACTACAACAAGAACAAAAACAACAACATCGACAGCAACAACAAAAAGAAATCTGTGCCCACCGGCAATTTAAATGCAAAAAAACAAAAGCAAAAGCAAACTGAAGTGCACAGCATTTAAGAAGACTTCACTTTCCAGTTGCGTGTGGACACTTGGGCAGCCTTTTGTACAATGTATTTGCGTCCCTTTTGCCAAAAACGAAAGACTGCGAAAATCCATGCAGACCATGCCTAAACAAGGAAGTTCCTCAACCAGCGAAACGGAGCTCGACAAAAGCTCTTCATCTGCGGCTTTGGTTTTTGAAAAAGGGAAAAACGGAAAACTTTCTTGCCTCATTTTTCATCGAAGCCTAAGTTGCTTTTGGCAGGAGCTCAAAAGTTTGAAGAGCGCTGCCTTGAAAGCTCTGCATCTGCAAAGAGGATCTCCCCTGGGAGAGGTGGTAGCAATGGAAGCTTTTCATTCCAGAGGCGACTGCCCCGAAATATGCGAAAGCAGTTGCTTGGAAATTGGAACACTTTGCTTCCACTGGTAATTGAACTCCATGAAAAATGATAGCACTACTAAGTTTCTACTTACATCTAAACTTAAACTGAACAATTATAATATACCAGCTCATACAGTGTGTTGAATAAACAAATTTGATCAAAAGCTTGCACATTAGCAAGTGAAAGGAAAAATAAATAAAATAGGAAAATTGAGCCTTGCTGAGATCGGCTGAGCCTTGGCAAAACGAAATCCAAATATTTAACAATGTCAATTACGTGAGCGCACATTATAAATCCCAAATCTCACCTGTGTTGTTGGGACACGCATAGCACACACAGAGATACATACGCACTGCTGGCAAGTTATTTGTTTAATTTATGCGTCAGATAAAATTTTAATCTCTTCGGAGCCAAAGCGAAAAACAAAATAAAGGTAGCTGTACACAGGAAAAAAAGTTTACAAAATAAAATAAAATATAAAACAACAACCAACATGCGACTGATATAAATAAAATTCTCTATTTACACACTTCTCATGGCGTTTAGCATCGCTGGCAGCACAGATGTCCGCCAGTCCAGAGCAAACCTGCACCTAGCCCAGATTATTCTACCGGGTGCTTTAGATTTACTTCTTTTTTATTTATTTACTTTTTTTTTTTGTTTTTGCCAACCAGCACAACTGACTGCCGCTGCCACCCCCTTGTGGATTTTGTTGGATTTTTATGTATTTTACAAGAATTAATTGACTCACACTGCCGACTTGTTCAAAAATGTTGTTATACGAGGTGAGTAAGACGCTTGTTTAACTTGGCGAACATTGCGTATAAGCCGCATACTATTTGCATTGGTCTCTCGTTCGCTCATCTGATATTTATACTCGGCGGAAAAAGTTGCTTTCAGTTTGGCTTATGCAAACCGAAAGAGCGGGCCGCGTAAATATTTTCATTAGTCAAGTGGAAAATATTATGTATTTATGAAATGCGTTTTCTTACCCACTTGTGTCGAATGCTTGCAAATTTATTCATAGGCATCGGGGGCAGATTACGGAAATTAATAAAATTGTGATTACTCAAATTTAATTAAGTTTTCGAAGTCTACGCTTATGCCCTATGCAAATCCCAAAATTACAATTACAATTGACTTTTGCTGCTCTTTAATCCGCCGTGGCTCAAAACAATTTAATTGCCTAAATGAAAGTCATCAGAACAGAAATACAATAGTACACAGTCCACACGTTACCAGCTTTAAAACTAATTTGATGTAGTCAAGTTCGCATCGACATTTTAATCCTTTCGTCGAAAGGATATCCGCTACAAGGTCTCTAACAGCCGTTGAACTAATTCTGCGTTTTGCATGTTTGCGCCTTAAAAATTCGCCGCTAATCTGCGTTAATTCCACTTACAATTAGCATTAGCGCCTTGTAAATGAAGACGCCGACTTTGCCACCGACTGCAAGCTGCGTCCTATTTTAATGTTTTGAACCAGTTTTTGTATAAACAAAGCTCTCACCGCAGGTGGGCGTTGGACGTTGGCTCAGAGGTGAGCGGGTCGTGGGCGTTGCCACTTAATTAAAATGCGCAACTCTTTGCCGGAAATGAGCATTTCAACTAATGACAAGAGCCTGGGGCCTCCGAGATTTCCAGCCGTTCGTATAAATTAAAATAAATTAGCTATAAGAAACAAGTGCGGCGCCGTAATGTACGAACTATTAAATACTCTGCAAAATCACGTATATGGAATATAACATAGCCATGTCGTTATCGTACGAGTCCAACGAGAAAAAGTCAAAAGCTTAATTTAAATTTTGATTTGTATCTAAACACAAGTAAAATCGTTACAGTCGGAAACTTTGCTTCCAGTGCAATAACAGCTCAAAGTTTGACTTGCTAAACTTGAGCAACAGAAGGCTTAATAAAACTATTTTGATGTAATTATTCTAAATACAATTTTCTGACATTAGCTTTAAGTTTGTAAGATACACAAATTTACCTTGCAGGATAGAAGTAGATTTAGCGAATATTTCCCTACATATTTTACTCACGTTTATTTATAATTTCAACATGTGTAGCAATTGGAAAGCATTTCGCAACGGAGATAACGTCCCATCAATATACTCTCTTTTGCTTTGCGCATAGTGTATAGAAAGAGGTATCAACTTTCTCTTTGGGATTTTAAAGGGTCTTAGTTATTTAAAGTTAACAAAAAGTTACTTTTAATTAAATAAATAACATGCTTACATTCTCGATAGTCGAGATGGGCGCGGTCCCTTATTCTAGTACCGGCACGAGCACGAAACTCGCACTTGAAAAAAATATGCTGCACTTTTTAGGCAAAAGCCAAAAATTTTGCCCGATTCTTTTTTTAAATATTCGGAATTAAGACCCGCAAGCTGAAACCCTAAACGTCACCAACCAAACCTTCGACCTTATCTCAGACCAGGTAGGAATATATTTTCCGAAATTTTGCAAGCAAAAAAGTTTCATGGTCCAGTTTTTCTCAATCAATTGATTGTAAGCATGGGCTTGTGATGGGACTACAAGGAATTCTCTTACTATAAAAGTCCTTATTTAAACATTTAGTTAATTAATTAAATTCATTGTTGAAGATGATCAGGATGCCGAAATATCTCTTGTCTGAATATATTATTGATATATATCAATGTAAAATATATTATCTAACTAATCTATTCTCAATAGCGGGAATGGAAAAGTTAATCGGCTCAATCATAAATAAGTTATTATGAATTAATTATTGTCAATCATTAAGTGCAAAAGGCCCTACATTCTTCAGACAAACATATATGTATGCATGAATGTTAAAGTGTATGTACTCAAGTATAATGTACTTCGTACATATGTATGCAGCATGATGTGATAATGAGCAGCACTTGTTAAAATTACGTTTTAATCTATTGTGGGCACGGGGTCATCGTTAATGCCCCAAGTACATGGAGGATGGACATTAATGCCGCGTTTATTGCCTTTAACCGCATTATGATAACTTTAAAGCGAGCATTTTTATGGCAACCGGAAGCTGGGCAATTTATTTGTTGGCCTGGACAACAATGGCGCCGCCTCTCTCTGACCACGTTAAAAAATGAGAAATGTTCCCAAGGCTACTAAGTGCCCAACTAAATTAACTTTAAGGCGGCCCGGCTGACACTGGGACAGAGACTGAGACTGAGGCGCCCGCCCCTTTGATTACATTAAATGGACGGCGGCTGCGGCCGCCCAGAGGCGCGTGCGTGATATAATGCGAATCCACGAGCCTCAATGCTCGGCAGTTGGACGTTCAACTTGATTAAAATCAAGCATCAAGTAAATAAATCTACCGCCGAAAAGGCATCCAGGCAGTCCAGGCTGCCGCCACATCAACTGCGTGGTGATTAATTTAAATGAATGAATCTTGGCCACTGGCCATTTAAATTGTGACGAATCAGTTACCCGAAATCTGGTCTGTGGACTCACCTGCGAATATTCCGCTGGATGGAGCGTGTCACGGCGCCCATATCACAGGCACCCTTATCGCCCGGCTTTCGATTCTCCAGGCGACTGCTGCAGGAGCGCCCGTCCAGGGTCGCATAGATAGGCCGGCGCGGCATGGCCGTATGGGCTGTGCGCGGCGTGGGTATTTTGGTGCGCTCCGCACGCGGACTTGGCTCGAAGCCGGAGTCCTGATCTTTGCTGGTGGTGGCCAAGGCAATATTGCTCTCGCGCGATTCCTGTGCGCTCTTCCAATTGCTTCGCGTCTTGGCACCGCTGCGCACGCGCTTTTTTAGGCGACGCTTGCGCCCGTTGGCCAGCCCATCATAGACACCAGCGGCTGCAGTGGCGTCGCTGGTGGCACCTTGTTCGCCGCCAACACCATGGCGTGCTCCACTGCTCAGAAAGCGGCGAAGGGCACTGTCGTGCTCCGGATCAATGTCATCTGCATCGTCATCGTCTGCGGCATCATCAAATTCTTCGTATTCGTCAGGCTTGTCCAGCTCGGATGCACTGGGCAGCTTGGAGCTTGCGGTGCCATCGGGCACCACTTGAAAGACTTGATTGCTGCCACTGTACTTAACATCGTGTGGACGCGGCGAATCCTCCAAATCGGCAATGGAGTCGTCACTCTTAAGCACTTGGAAGCTCGATTTACGTTCGGGTTCATCAGAGACTGGCACAACAGTAGCCGCAGGCTCATCATCAGCCGAGTCGGAGGGCAGCAGTGTAAAGGAGCGTCTTGACTCCTGTTCCCGTTGTGGTGGCTGTTGCTCATGCTGTTCCTGCTGCTGCTGTTGCTGCTGCACCTGTTGCTGTTGTTGTTGCTGTTGGGACTGCGGACGTGTGGTCTGTGCGGCTGTCGGCTTTTGCTGTGGATTATTGGGCTCATCTTGGGGTTTGGGAGGAGATGACGGAGGCAACGCCTTTTTCTCACATTCAGGCTCTACCGCTATGTGCTCCAATTTTTTGCCAGCCTCTGCTGCGGTTTCTAAGGGTTGCGGCTGTGGCGGCGCCTCTAAATTTGGTTGCTCGGTTGTCGGTGGCTTCGCAACTGGTGCGTCAGCTGATGGATGCGGTAAGGGCGTGCTGGCAGTGGTTGGTTCGGCAGATGCTACGGGATCTCCACTGGGATTATCCTTAGCGCTATTCAATGGCAGCATTTGCTCTACAGTTTCCGATTTATTCTCGACAGATGCTTCTTCAGTAGAGCTCTTTGACTCGCTGCTCAATGCCGTGGCAGCTATTGTGATCATCTGTTCGACCTCAGTGGTGACCAATTTGGTGTCCTCCTCGCTTAGCTCGTGCTTGGCAGCTCTCTCGGCCTCTGCAGGCGTAGTCGCGGTTACAGTCGCCGTTTCACCTCCTGGTATCTCCTCGAAAGACTTTGAGGATTGCAACTCTGCATCATGATGGACATCCACTTGGGTAACCACTGACTTGGCTATTTCCTGCTCCTCATCCGTTAGCTCCAAGCCATGGCCTTCTGCCACCTTCAAGTTGTCCGGCTCCACAGCTGCTACCTTGTCGCCTTTGGCGCTCTGGGGCGGCGATTTGATAAAGGTGCCCTCCTTGGTAGCTGTTGGCGTGGCTGGCTGTGTCTGATCGTTGCCTGCCATTTGAGGTGGCTGTGGACTGTCAGGTTTATTCTGCGATGTGGACACTTTGTGCTCGGCCTTCTTCGGCGAACTCTTTCCCTGCTCGCTGCCATCCTCCTCGCTGCCAGGCAGCTCCTTGGGCCTGTGCGAGGGTGTAGAACGCTTGCGCGGCACGACACGCTGTTTCTGGCGCTTGTGATAGCAGCAATTCTCGCAGGAGTCCTCGTCATCCTCGTCGTTCTCGCCATCACTGGTGCTGGCAGAGCGCTCCCTGGACTGATAGCGCCGACTGATTTCAATGTTGCTCTTGGAGCGGCAAATGTCACTGCACTTCTTATGTTGGCCCTCGCCGCAACTGTTGGTGCGTCGGCGAAGCTGGCGCCGCTTATGCCGCTGGCATGTATGCACCAGACGCTGCTCCCTTCGATATGACTGCTCCGTGCAGCTGCACTCATCTTGCTCCTGCTCCTCCCCACCGCCAGCAGCAAGGCCACCATCAGAATCGCTGCGCTTGAGATACACTACGTATTTCTTGGAGCTACGTAGATCGTGCAGCTCCTCCTTTTCCATATACTTTAGAGGTCGCACCAGATCCGCTGCGTTACTCTCGTGAAAGGGATTGCCGCGTCGAGCAGCCAGCCTCAGCTTGTTGGATGGCTGGCCGCCTTGCGACTGCAGGAACTTGGCCGTGGAACGATGACCACGCTGCAGTGCACAGTCCAGCGGGGTCAGCACAAGGCCCCGGGAATTGCGATAGAGCGCATTCACATCGCCTCCGTGGTCCAACAGCAGCTTGCACATGTCCGTGTAGTCATTTGCAGCTGCAATGTGCAGCAGGCTGCGCCCGTCGTTGCTTGTGGTGTTCACCTGCTTGGGTCGTTGGGACAGGAGCCATTCGAGTAGCTCACGTCGGCCGGAGGCGGCCGCCTCGTGCATTGGCAGATCACCTTTGGCATTGCGCAGCCAAAGATTAGCGCCGCGCTCCTTCAGCAGCTTTAGCGTTTCGAATTGGCCCTTGGAACAGCCACAGTGTGCAGGCGTGCGCCCCTTGCGGTCCTGCCGATTGGGATCCGCTTCCAAGTCGAGCAGACGTGCTGTGGCATCCGCATGGCCAAGCGTCACGGCATAATGCAACGCCGTGCAGCCGTTGGTGTCTATGAGATCTGTGGGCGCGCCACACAGGCTTATCAGCGTGTCGATGCACTCGGTGTGGCCACGCGAGCCAGCGCAGTGGAGCGCGGTGAGACCATCCCTGCAAGGAGAGCAAAGAATGTTACAATGTCGCAACAGAAGATCAAAGCAAATGGTGACTCAACCCACTTATCGGCACTCTCTACACGTGCGCCCGCCTTCACCAGGGCTATAACCGCTTTGGCCGAGCCCGCCGAAGCGGCCCACAGCAGCGGCTGCCGTCCATCCTTGTCCTGAACATCGACGCTGCTCTGCGGATGGGCCAGCAGTATGCCAAGAATCTCAAGGGCCAACTTGCTGGAATTGGACTTCAGCTTGTTGTCGTAGCTGGCGCCGCACATTTGTGCCGCATAGTGCAGGGGCGTACCGCCGTTAACATCGGGCTGGGCCACACTTGCACCGGCTGCCAGAACTGCCCGCAATGCCTCAATTTCGCCACATACTGCAAAAGCAGTCAGTTTGTTATTCAATGTACCGAAGGCAAATATAGTACATAGTTGTGTTGGGTGGCTGGGGAGTGTATGCTTACCCGTGGCCCAGTGCACCACCGAATGGCCTTCATTGTCCACCGCGTTCACATCGGCTTTGTTCGCTAGCAGCAAATTGACCATCGCCAAATTGCCCTGAATAACAGCCAAGTGAAGCGGCGTGAAGCCATCCTCGTCGGCAGACTCCAGCAGCTCTGGAGCTGCAATCGCAATGCTTGCGGCCGCCACGAGGTCGCGCGTCTGCTCCAAATCCTGCGCGGCACAATAATGCAGCGCGTTGCGGTTGCTACGGTCACGCTGCCGTAGCAGTTGGGGCTGCAAGAAAAGAATTTGAGTTATTCACTTGTGCCCGCTTGTGTTTTGAATGCATTATTTATTCATTCATTCAAACATTCAGCTTTTTGTAGCTACCTTCAAAAAGGCAAACTCTTTAAAATAAATTAAAGCTTATCAATTCAGTTGCGCACGAGAATCGCAATACAGCCGCCAGCTACAGCTGCAGAAGCCGTTGCAGCTGCAGCCGGGAAGCGATTAATAAACTAATTAAAATGTCATTTGCATTCTGCAAAAATATTTGCCACAGACAGAGTATCTCACGGCGCATACTGCGGAATAATAAATTGTGCAATTATGAATAGCATCACGCTTATTGCCAGCTCAGGCGTCAAACGAGCACAAACTATAATTGCAGTCAAATGTTTTACTCGCTTTTCCCCCAATTATTATTATTTTTCCTTTTTTTTTTTTTGTTTGTTTGCTGTAATTTATTTATGTTAATATTTATTCAAATGTGCGATCGTCCCTTGTTATTATTGGCCGCGTGTAATCCAATATTTTTTTTTTACACCAAATTGTCGAGCTGCTGCGCTCGACTTTAAAATTGATAATTAAACATATTTTCGCGTTAATCACGTGCAAATTGTGCGCGACTATCAATAATTAAAAATTACTTTTCATCTGCGGCCCGTTTGCGGCCGCCGCTTGTTAGTAACTAAAGCAACAATGGCCACAACCAACGGCAACAAAAATAAACAAACAAATACATGTTTCGCAGTTGGCAGTTGGCGTCCCTTTGAAAGTGCAAGTGGCCACTACGGTTGCGCCTGGCAACGTGGTGAGTTACACCTGCCGCCTCACGCCTCACACCTGTCGCCTGACACCTGCTGCCTACAATCGCGAGGTGTATTTCGACAAGCCCCGAGTGCCACCAAGTGCAATTACCAAATTCACATTGGCCATTTTGGCGCGCAGCACGATATCGAACTCCAATGGGCTGGCGAACATTTTAACGAGTACTTCCAGGCGGCGCGTTGCCTGTTCCGCGTGTCAAAACATGTCAAGTGCACAAAAAATACTGTCGCCGCCGTCGAGCACTATGCGAAAACTTTACTCGCCGCCGTCGCAATGCGAACAACTTCAGCAGCAGCAGCAGTAGCAGCAGCAGTAGCAGCAGCAGTAGCAGTATCAGCAGCAGTCACACGCAAGCCGAAAAATGCTCAAGTGAAAAAAAGGCTAAATCATCGGCTTAGCGCCAATTTACACGACAACGGAGAGACGGGTGGGCCAACCTTTAGAGTCAAACTTAGTAGTCCTTTTAACACTCTAAATGTAAACAAGTAGCAAATAAACTTATAAGTATACAAAATTGATCGTCATCTTAGCAAAGTAATCATAATAATAAATAATAAATTTGATTTATAGAAAATGTTTTCCATTCCTCACAGCATAAATCGTTGCCAGACTAATAAGATTAGATATTAATAATAAATTATTTAAAAACTGAAGAACCCGTTTCAGGTGCATAATAGTTCTGTCAAAGTTTATGCTTGTGGAACATGAGGTAATATTTAACAGATTTTTAGCAGCATAATAAATTTGTGAGCCGCAAGGGTGCAAAATTTAATACTGCGAATGCAGAATGCAAGATCACAATTCACATTTAAAGAAATAGGCTCAAACTCAAATAATTATTAAGGAAAATTCCGCATTCGAATATAAATCAGGTCGACTAAAACACATAATTTTAGTGATCTATTTAGTACAAACTAACTATTAAGCAAGAAGCAAAAAGCGTTAAAATATGGGTTATATTTTTTATTCTGGTAACAATATAGTCATTTCTTTAAACATTACTAAAAGAAATCTTAAAAATATATATTTTGCAGTAAATTTGTGTTATGATAATAGAGTATATCAAATGTTAGCTATGCTGCTTAAACTTATTTTTGTAAGCAATTGGTTGCGCTAATTTCTCCAGTGTCAAAAAGTTTCGGTATACTACGCTCAATTTGGCTTGCGTTTATCTTGGCAGTCAGGCAGAATGATTGAATGTGTCGCTTTTCTAACCAACGTTCAATTTTCGCAAATACATTTTAAGCACGTCCCCCTCTATTTTTATCAGGCGCAAGCCCATCGCGTGACTATCAGCGGGACAAAGAACATTTGGAGGGAGGCGAATGGCACTGAAATGTGCACCTCGTTTTTTTTGGGCAGCAAATGCCAAAGTCGTTGTAGTTCAATTTATAGCGCATTTAACTGAGTCAACAAATAGTTCGATAGCAGCCGAAAAACAAAGATAAGAACTGGGGTCAAAAGAAAAGCAAAACAAGCTCAACCAAAGTAAAGACATTAGGAATTTGCGTGCTTCCAATGGCGGACAAGGACATAATATTAGGACTCAGAAGTCTTGTTGAAGTTATGAATTTAATATTATGCGGATATAGGTATTAGATAAACGATAAAATTGATTTTAGTGAGAGAAACTGTGTCAGATAGAAACTTTTTATAAGAATTGCATATCTTTTAGATATTTTTGAAATATTAAGCTTTAAGTATTAATCGAAGGCAAATACCAAGTCAAGGGTCTTTTGAATGTAATATTATAATGTCCTCGACCAATTTGCCCTCAATTTTTCCTATTTTAGTTGAATTGCAGCGTAAAGCCAACTGATTAGTTACGATTTACATAAATGAGTGCAACTAAGCTCTTCGCCCTTTTTCTTAATATATCATATGGTCTAGGAGATCGCAATTGTGATTTTGTGACAAATATTTTAAAGCCTCCGTAGGCGGCAAATCTCAACGCTTTTGTTGAGTACCGAAAAAATGGTAAACACCTCATCACAGTTTAGGTTAACAATCTTTGCTGCGGTTTTTTTTTTGTGGTATTTGCTTTTTCGTTAATATTTTTGTTGATTGAATCAAAATTGTTTTGATGGTTTTGTTGCGTTTCTTTTGTTTAGTCTCATTTTGATATGGTTTTTTTTTTTTTGTTTTTGGTAAAAAGAATGAAAAGTGGAAATTTACATTGCGATTGGCACAAAAAGTATTTAGAGTGAGTTTTATTTGCCGCTACTTCCGTTATCTTGGTGTCCCTTTTACTGTGTGTCTTGGCCATATCCGGGCTCTTTCACTGTTTCTTATAGCGAACCTCCGCTGCCATCCGGATTATGAATAATTCAAATAAACTGAAATGATACCTAAAAACTTTGACAGCGAGCTCGCTCGCAGTTGGTACAAAAGAGGAACCTAGGGTCACAGCTGAATCGGCCGGGAGAGGGGGGTGTGGCTTAACGCAGCATCAAATAAAGTTCTCGTGTTGTTACTGCCACTCTTGTTGTTGTGATTGTTGCTGCTGCTGCCTTTGTTATTATTACGATGATGGCTGGTGTGATTGTTGCCGCTGCCATCGCCTCACACCCGCCACAGCTGCTGCTGCTGCTGCTGCTGCTGCTGTTGGTGTCATGCAAATTTGCATTTAACTTTCTACGTTTGCCCAACACAAAATGAAATGCGATAATCAAATACGTCCAACAACAATGCGATCCAATGGCAGCAGCAGCAGCAACAGCAGCTGGTGCCTCCCGCCCTCAATTTTCCCCACTTTTGTTGTTTGGCTGAGCCAAGTTAAGATAAAACTTCGGCATTGGCTTCTGACCATTCATAAACGGGCCTGGTCAACCCACTGGCCCTGTTGCCTTGTTGCTGCTTATGCCATTTTAATAGTTTTGAAAAACAAATAAAACACGCCCTAGCCACACAACAGCAGCACCTACTGAAGCAACAATAATATAACTTGTAAGTTCGGCGAACTGCGCTAAACTTTCCTTAAGCTATTTAACCTTATTCTAGTCTGCCCAGAGAGAAGTATAAATAATTGAACTAATACTGTGAGAATATCAATATGTGGAAAATCGCAAGGAACAAACTGAAACCCACCTCAAATTTAATTATTTTGCACTTTTCTGGAATGTACCCCTAATTGCATACGCAGTAAACTTGTAAGCTTTAAATTTATTTGCTGCGTCTGGGATAATACTGGAATGTGTCCTGTCAGTCAACTCGGCGGGGTATCGCAGTTCATCTGATTAACTGAGAGTCCGCTAGGAGCAGCAATAAAAAACGGCAGCACAAAGAAAGAATTGGACGATGACAGCCATAAAATGTCACATTTTTTGTTGCTCTTCACAACGGACGCTAAGCCTAGAAGCTGAGTCCAAGATTCAGGATGAACGATTTTGAGCGTTTCCTGCCAGCTAAACTTTAAACTTTCAATGTTGCATTTAATTTTGGGGTGCGGTATTTGCATAACTCGAGCGGTGGCACTTCCGTGACGACTTCTCGTAGTGTAGGGGACTGCAGCAAAGCTGGGCAACTCTTATTATTCATATATCGTAATCCATTAGCATAACAATGGATTGTAGTTGTCCAGAAGGAGTAACAAAAGTGCCACAGACGGCCTAGGCCTTAGAATTTATATTTGGATATGACGCATACGACATGGTGTACCCATACATTTTATTGTTTACACGCAGGAAGTGCGTACACACACATACAGACTTATACACATATAAATAAAGCATAAATAATAATAAAAGAAGGCACAGCAGCCACAGCAAAGAGGACAAAAACAACAAAATGTGAGACAAGGGGCAAACAGTGATATGATAATGCATAAAAAATAAAATACATGCATGGGCTGAATACCACGAAAGGGCACAAATGACATGCGGGCGCCTGCCTAGGCGGTGTCATGAGGCTGTATCCAAGGGAATATGAACCGAGAATTCGACTTAACGCTTCGTTGGGCATCACATCCGCCATAATTATGTGTGACGCGACAGCAGAATGGCGCATTAAAAGGCCAGGACAGGGTCAGTCTCACTAACGTTGTCGGATAGTTCAGTTCGCTTGAGCTCAACTCAGGAAGACCACATCGTATTTTCCTGTAGGAAATGGGAAAGCAAACCAAAACAAATTCCAGCCACAACCAGAGACACAGACACAGACATGCCGGAAACACTTTGCAAGCGCCTTAAGGTCGCCATTTGGCCCGGTTGTTCTGCTTAAGATGTCAAGTGACCGCAGCGGGGTCCACTCAATTCCAAATTTATGCGCACAATGCGTAATTCATATGTTAATCGCATTCAGCCAGCCCAAGCCATCCAACTAGCTAACAATTCAGACTGCCAGCTACCTTTTGGGCTGGGTTTTAATTAATGCAAGCGACAAAATGCGCAGGTAGCTCCAACTGAAACTAAGTACACACACACAGACACACGCACACGCACAAACACACACATACATACACATGGCATGGTATTTAATATTGCTGTTTTGATGGGAAAGCAACGCTGAAGGCATGCAGGAGATTTCTCGTCTTAAGCAGCCAGACTCTTGCCAACAAAAGCAACAACAATAATTTACATGTTTAGCAGACAATGCCAATGCGAGGAGGAGCTGTGTTGTGAGTAGACAGCTCTTTAAATGTTGTTGTAGCACCTTTTATACTTCTAATTAGTGCCACGCTGGTAGCTGCAACACCAATGGGTTGCATGCATTGCAGTTAACATTGCTTGAATAGCCGCCTTTGTTGTGGCTCTGTCTAAGTCTTAGTGCTAGACTTCGCTCCCCCATCAGCCACACACACACACACACACACGTACACACACACATACGCACACAACATCCTGAGTCTCCTCAGTATCCAATCTCTACAGCAACCAGCAGGAAGCGATTCGCTGTGCCGCATTCTTAAGTAGTTTTGGCAATTATTTACAGCTACTTTGCGCGGAGCAGCTCCGACCCCTAGACTTAAGGTTTGCCGCACGGATTATTATTATTATGCGCCGCTGTGTGCCGCGTTCAGTGTAGTTCAACTTTTGCATAGTTTTTATGCCATGCAACGGATTAACCACAACGGCAAACTTTTATTTTGATCTACAAACTTTTCTCGACCGTCGCCCGGCTAGTTCGTTCAATCTCAGGTGGTAAACTGTTTGCTAAATATGAACAGCAAATTTGTGTTGCCTTCG